CGGATGAAAGCTGTAATACGGATGTATCGCTTGACGATTGGTGTTAAAAGCAAGCAAACCCTATTCTGAATGTTTCGATAGCCTTCAACAGTTCCTAACAATCCCTTACATAATATCAACACCGTGGATACAACGCCTACGGAACCCTTAGACATCCCAAATTTGTTCGGCGAATTTACTATGTAAATGCTACGTGTGTACATGCTATACCGTTTGTGTTTACTACGTACCTATGAACTATGTAAGTATAGGTTCTGCAACTTACAAGCTACTCTATACCTGGCAATAAGGTATGTGCTATGTAGATACTCAGAATGTTGCTAAGTATGTATATTGTGCTTATTCTAAATACACAAAGACCGTACTCTTACCATCATGATGAAGTCTGCACGAGGTTCACACTAAGACACTACTGCCCAGGGATCCTGAAGTCTGTACATAGTAAAAACTATGCCCTTACCACGTAAATATGTCAGAAGCAATACCAGCTGGAACGATGCTTCATTATTTGTTATTTTTTGTTTCAGGTCAACGCCATTTATCATTCGTTGCAATGCTGTAATCGTCATTAATTTGCATTTATTTATACAGATTTACATAATGTCAGAATCAACAAGGAGATTGTCCAAAGGAGGGTAAATCACTGAAAAGCGCGTGTCTTCACATAGAACGTACCACTATCAAAAGTGTGAACCTGCCAGCAAGGAGCAACCAGCCCAGCAAAAGTAAGAGACTGCTCGACATTTTAGGGAAGTGGTGAATACTTACACAGCTGTCAATTTCTACATGGGAACAAAGCTGAGATTGAAGTTAACCTGATATACGCTTTCGCCTGCCAAATAACGACACATTCACGCTGCGTTAGTGTTAGACATCGGACGAGAGAAATAGAAAGGCGATCTACTACCATACTGACCACGGTGCCGTTGCGCACAGGCCCCAGGTGTCAACATTCATGCTATACAGTAGCTGCAAAACGGCCCGAAATGTGGTGCTAAACCTTGATTCAGCATAGTACAGCATCATGTATAATACAGCATAATAGGGTATGCTGGACGGGCAAAATAATCGCCTGCAATATCACGACACCCTCACGTTTCGTTAGCTAGGAGAAGGATTAGCGAGTGGAAAGATACAATCTGACAGGAGGGTGGTTGGCGGTAGGGAACTCTGAGAAGGCAACTAAGGCCAGAAAGAAAGTCGCAGCGGAACGATAGCTGGAGACAACATAGTGAACGACGAAATAGAAGATATGCTTGGGATATACCAAGTCAAGTAGTGTGTGACTCCCGCTAAATCTGGGCCCGAATAAACATGAACCAATCCAAATCGAAATATGATTATCTTGTGCCAACTCATTACATCATTCGATCGCAACCATCAAACGCTTGAAGAAATCCACTGTTGCAAATTTAAAACCAATCATACAGTGCCAGCCGAAAGAGCCACGTAATCCCCTGCTGTCTAACGAGATCGACGTTTGACATTCCAACCTAACGACCAGAGATCTCGACGGTTGTCATTCACACTTACGAGGCTAGACAAATATATCTGAACCGTCCAGATAAAAAGCATCGACGGCTAACATTCCAACTTCTGTAAACTTCAACAGTTCAGCGAGCATGCAAAGCCCTGAATATCGACGGCTGAAACAAATTACGATCGACGGCTCACATTCCAACTTCTCTGTAGCCCAACTTTTGTTCAACGAATCACAGAAGCCCTGAATCCATTGGTTTAAGATCTCCAAATCAACGGCTGATGTTGTTTCTCAGTTCCGAAAGGGTAAAAACTGACTAACCCCTCTTTGAAATCCCGCCTGTGAAAACGGAACAAGTTGAAGTACGTACACAGTTGTTTTTGTGTCGAGAGCTGTTTTTTAGGGCGAGTGACCACACTGTGCCCCTCAATAATCTTCGAGCATGCTGGGGGTGTAGAGTGTAGTGTTTCTGTACTTCAGCCCAGTTTCATTGTCCAGACTTTGCTTCAGGGCTGGTTGTGCAAGTGCACTCGCTACCAGGAGGGGCGGTTTACACTGTACCTAGCCATGAAACACTCCAATGGTACTTCACTCGCGCACATGAAGCAAGCACTTCGTCTCTCCATTCCCTGGGACCCCGAGAAGGAATTTTGCGATGGACTTGTCCAACTCCTCAACAAGTGAACACAAGCGACCAAAGCACACTCTGACGCATAATTTTCGTCAATCTTGTGGGTTTCACGACTTCCCTGAACGGGTAAACCTGAAATACTCACCTCCAACGTCCACATTTCGAAAGATTCTCGATTCTACTCCTTCCCTCCACCACACCCTCCACTTCCCAAACCGCTTCAAGTCTGGCGGGAATGCCATATTAGTCGAAGCTTGAATAAGACCAGCTTCATGAAGTATTTCAACTCAGCAGCAGAAGCATCTCTAGTCTTATTTTAGACTGCTCTAGTTCACGGGCACGTTTCTTATCGTTCCCCGAAGTTGTGCTTCCTCGTTCCTGTTCCGTCATCAATGGAGTTTCGCCGTCTCTTCCCTCTCTTGGTCCTGCTCCTCCTCTCAGCCTCGCTTCTTCCACTCGCTTCATCCCGAGAATTTCCGTCGCAGGCAATCGGCGGCTTGCGCTCCCCACGGGAACTCGACTGCAGGTTCGTCGGGACTTTTTGAAGTAGTAATCTAGGTGAATGTTCCATGCCATGTTTAGCATCTCACAAAACATCCCAAAAAACCTGCCACAGCTACATTGTAGTCACTCCGTAGCTGTATGGGAGATGCGATGCACCCACAATGCCTCCGACTACACTGTACTTCTAGGTTCTGCTACAAACATTTTACTTCGAATCTGATAGGGGGTGGCAATAGGGTAACCACATAGTAGCTACACCCGATACATGTATAGTAACCACATTGTAGACAATCTAAAATTACAACGAAGTCACTCCCTAGCCAAGCATGCAGTAAGTACATAGTACTTGCAAAGTGCTTTACAGCAAGTTCAGGCATAGCATGTATAATATTCATTTACCAATTCCAGCCTATGAAATGTTTCCAACAACAGGAAGTTAACTCCAATAAAAGTATACACGTTACAAATAGACATAAAAAAACAACCGACTTTTTAAACGCTCAGGAATGATCTTCGCGTAGAGTGGTCCTACAAAGTGACCGAACCTGCAAGCAACTAAGGATAAACCCATCCCTGCAAAACGAAAGTCAACAATCAACAATTTAGAAAACGCAAGTACTTACCCGGGTTCAGCCACCACTTCCCTGAAAATATCATGATCCAACAGGAAGCAATAAATCGACATAACAGCACATTCTGCAAGGTCCGGTGCCCAAGGCCTGCAAAATCTACCAACATACGGTACAAGCACCGTTAGTGTTAGGACAAAAAACAGAGCAAAGGTCCAACATTTAGCCTGCAAAATCGCACATACGTGAACCGTTAGTGGTATGACAAAAGACAGACAGGCGCCACCAACACATACAAGAACCGTTAGTGTTAAGAGAACAAGTAATGCAATGCTTAATGTAGTAACAACGGTGCCACCGAGGGCGAAGAGCAGCGCGTCCGATATTGTCCGCCATCTCCTTGCCCGCCGCCACCGCCACCACGTCCACGCCGCACGCGCCCATCTTCCCCATCATGCGCGCATGCACCTCCTCGGGATTCCCGTACGCGCGCACGCTCCGCACCGCACCGAACATGCGCGCCACGTCGCGCAGCCGGCGCCGACGGGCACTGGGCAGTTCTCTTAATCCCTGAACACGCCCACCCCGGGCGAGCATGTTGCCGACCCCGATACCGGTTGAAACGAGTGGACGGTAGCGGGGGGGAGTGGGTAAGGTGCTGGAGTGAGGAACGGAGGCAGGTCGGAGGGGGGAGTTGTGAAGGAAGGGTTTGCTTGGCGGTAGGAGGGTTGCTGGTGGGAGGGACTTTCTCCAAACAAGAGAGCTGTCTCAGTGAAGCTGAGAAATGAGAGGAGACGAAGGTTGAGGTTGGATGTACCCAGTGATGTGTGTGTGTCTACGCCGAAATCTGGGCTTGAACCAATCGGAAGTTGAGTAGCATTATCTTGTTCTTTCATTTCTCGATCGTGGCCTTTGAATAGAAGTTAATCGACGGATGACATTCCAACCAGATCACATCTCACGTCCGATCGTAGCCATCCAAACTTGGTTGAGATCGACGGGTGAGATTCCAACCTCTTGGGAATCTCAACAAATTTCGACCATCCAGCGAAGTTTAGATCGACGGTTCTGTTTCCAGCTAAGAAAACTTTCGTCCGATCGTAACCGTTCGAAAAACGTCAGATCGACGGTTACGATTCCAGCTGACTAGGTTACCAAATCAGCGCTCAGAATCGGGCGTAACCGTCAATAAAGATCATCGACGGTTCTTGTTTTTTGGTGGCCGAATTTTGCTCCTGCAGCGTTCGTGGTGCGAGTGGTACGTTTTCGAATTTATTAGTGACCTGTTGTGGTAAATCGGGAGCTATAAAACAGGGCTTCTAACACAAAACGACTTGTATTCGTCTAACACCATACTGAATATATTGACCAAGTTCGGAGGAAGTGCAGGCCTGGTAGGTCCATTGTAGGTTTGGAACCCAACCTACAATGTACGCTCGACATTTTGGTTTGGCTCTGTCTTCAAAGTCTACACACGGTAGCCACTACCAAAACTTGTACATGCTACCTTCTTTACATTTGTGTAGGTTCGGCAAGCGTGGTTGGTACAAGGTGCATCCAACACAATGTAGGTACAGTGCACACACATCACACACACCACGGCCTAGGGTTCGGAGTCCCTACTTCATGCCATGCTACCCCAACCCCCTCGAAACAAATTTTGGGATGATGCAGTAGGGTACTGTACTGTACATTCCTGGCCTGCTACAAGTTGTCCTCGTCCCCACCCTTACCCACCCTCCTCCTCTCCCCACCTGCCCCCTGGCCTCTTTCCCCCTATCATTGGTGTCCATGACAAATATAATCCATTCTTTATTTACGCATTTGAAATGAACAGGCGACTCTGCCTGCCTCCCTCTGCCCCTGCCTGGCACTGCTTGCAACTCTGTGCTTGCTCCTGCTCCTGGTGGTACGAACGGGAATGCAGTGTAGTTTAGTGTGATAGGGGGATTAACGGGTGAACAGTACCATAGAAACAGGCCTACGAGCATGTGAGGGAGAGGGAACAGGAGCACATAGCAAGACATTGATCAAGTAGCACAGCAACGGCCACTGGAAATACGAGAGGGCGTGAAGGAAGCAGATGGTTGGTTAGGGGGAGGGTGAGAATTGCAGAGAGGAAAGCAAGCATCTACACTACACAAATCACAACCTGCGCAGTATCACGCAGTGAGAAGTGAGAATGGGAAGGTGTAGGTAGGAGGGCAAGAGTGGAATGAACAGTGAAAAAACTGAGAACGAGGAAAGGAAAGCAAGTAGGGGGAGTAAGGGAATAAGTCACATTGGAAAGTGGTGAGCAGAGAGTTCTAGAGGAGGCAAGTGAGGGAGAGAAGAGAAGGGGACCAAGGGTCATTTAGCATTGACCAAGGGAGAGATGAAAGGGGCTGAGCGGATGGCAGGAGCATCTGAGGAAGGATGGGGAAGTTAGTGAGAAGTGAGTGAATGAGGAGGTAGGAAATGGAGAGGGGGAGAAGAGTCACCTTGCATTGTTGACCAAGGGCATGGTAAAGGACTGAGCGGGAGGGATGATGCAACGGAGGGGGGTGACTCGTGCGCTGCACAGTTAAAAGTGTTCATGAATGCTCATGAACCAGGATTCTCTTGCTGCTGCTGCAAAGGTGGGGTAAATGTGAGGGCAAAAGGGATGAAAGAGATGAAGGGGAATAATTAAACTAGTTGAGATGGATGAGATGAGTCGGGATGAAAGAGATAAGTTCCGATAAATGGGATGAGTTGGGATTGAGTAAATGAGTTGTGATGAATGAGATGAAGAGGGATAATTAGAAAGAGTTGGGATGAATGAGGAGAGTTGGGATGAATGAGATGAGTTGGGATGAATGAGAAGAGTTGGGATGAACGAGAAGAGTTGGGATGAACAAGAAGGGTTGGGATGAACAAGAAGAGTTGGGATGAACAAGAAGAGTTGGGATGAACAAGAAGAGTTGGGATGAACAAGAAGAGTTGGGATGAACAAGAAGAGTTGGGATGAACAAGAAGAGTTGGGATGAACAAGAAGAGTTGGGATGAACAAGAAGAGTTGGGATGAACGCAATGACCAAGAGATAGCACTAAATGCGTATCGTTTAGAGAGTATTTACAGTGAACGTTTCTATGTTGATGGTGCTTGTATTGAACGTCCTTGTATTGAGTGTGCCTGTATCGAGGCCGCTGGTCGCCTCCAGTAGAGAGATAACTGCATCCCTTAACCGGTCGTTCTCCTGATTAACATGGAAACACATGCATACATAATCGAAGAAAATGCACACTGATTAAATGAAAAGCACGCAATTATTATACACAATGCGCACAACATTCACAAGCTGACACACATTCCAATAATTTTTTTAGGCATCTCAAAAGCCAACATTCTTAGGGTCAACGTCTATTTGTGAGGCGCCTAGAACTGCGCACAACAATCTTACGACACTTGTTTTGTCCAAAAAAAAAAAAAAAAAAAAAATGGAGGAGGAGGAGGAAAAAAAAAAAACATGGACAACCTGTTTTTTGAGTCAACTCAGATTTCAAAGAAACATGCACACAAACACCTTTTCTCCCTCACCTGCCTCATTGCTCCTGTGCCATTGTAACGAGGTGACTTTCGAATCGACTCAAAAGCCACCTAGGAACATGCACACAGACAACTTATGTCCCTCACCTGCATCATTGCTCCTCACATGGTGCATTGCTGCTATCCTGCCTTGTTGTCCCTCATTCACCCGCATCCTTTATCCATTTCTAACACATGCAGCGTTGACCCTCACATGCAGCGTTGACCCTCACCTGCAGCGTTGACCCTCACCTGCAGCGTTGTCCCCCACATGCAGCGTTGACCCTCACCTGCTCCGTTGACCCTCACCTGCAGCGTTGACCCTCACCTGCACCGTTGACCCTCAGATGCAGCGTTGACCCTCACATGCAGCGTTGACCCTCACCTGCAGCGTTGACCCTCACCTGCAGCGTTGACCCTCACCTGCACCGTTGACCCTCACCTGCAGAGTTGACCCTCACCTGCAGCGTTGACCCTCACCTGCAGCGTTGACCCTCACCTGCAGCGTTGACCCTCACCTGCTCCGTTGACCCTCACATGCAACGTTGACCCTCACCTGCAGCGTTGACCCTCACATGCAGCGTTGACCCTCACATGCAGCGTTGACCCTCACCTGCGGCGTTGACCCTCACCTGCAACGTTGACCCTCACCTGCAGCGTTGACCCTCACATGCAGCGTTGACCCTCACATGCAGCGTTGACCCTCACCTGCAGCGTTGACCCTCACATGCAGCGTTGACCCTCACCTGCAGCGTTGACCCTCAGATGCAGCGTTGACCCTCACATGCAGCGTTGACCCTCACCTGCAACGTTGACCCTCACCTGCAGCGTTGACCCTCACCTGCAGCGTTGACCCTCACCTGCAGCGTTGACCCTCACCTGCAGCGTTGACCCTCACCTGCAGCGTTGACCCTCACCTGCAGCGTTGACCCTCACCTGCAGCGTTGACCCTCACCTGCAGCGTTGACCCTCACCTGCAGCGTTGACCCTCACCTGCAGCGTTGACCCTCACCTGCAGCGTTGACCCTCACCTGCAGCGTTGACCCTCACCTGCAGCGTTGACCCTCACCTGCAGCGTTGACCCTCACCTGCAGCGTTGACCCTCACCTGCAGCGTTGACCCTCACCTGCAGCGTTGACCCTCACCTGCAGCGTTGACCCTCACCTGCAGCGTTGACCCTCACCTGCAGCGTTGACCCTCACCTGCAGCGTTGACCCTCACCTGCAGCGTTGACCCTCACCTGCAGCGTTGACCCTCACCTGCAGCGTTGACCCTCACCTGCAGCGTTGACCCTCACCTGCAGCGTTGACCCTCACCTGCAGCGTTGACCCTCACCTGCAGCGTTGACCCTCACCTGCAGCGTTGACCCTCACCTGCAGCGTTGACCCTCACCTGCAGCGTTGACCCTCACCTGCAGCGTTGACCCTCACCTGCAGCGTTGACCCTCACCTGCAGCGTTGACCCTCACCTGCAGCGTTGACCCTCACCTGCAGCGTTGACCCTCACCTGCAGCGTTGACCCTCACCTGCAGCGTTGACCCTCACCTGCAGCGTTGACCCTCACCTGCAGCGTTGACCCTCACCTGCAGCGTTGACCCTCACCTGCAGCGTTGACCCTCACCTGCAGCGTTGACCCTCACCTGCAGCGTTGACCCTCACCTGCTGCACTGCTGCTATCCTCCAAGCTAGCTGCTCGTTCTCCCTCTCCTTCGCCTTTGCGCCTCCAAGCTCTGATGATAGTGTGTAGCATGATAACCATGGCATGGCATCTGCTTTCTCACCTGCTGTACTGTTTTGAGGCGCCTCAAAACTAGTGTGTAGCATGATAACCATGGCATGGCATCTGCTTTCTCACCTGCTGTACTGTTTTGAGGCGCCTCAGAACTAGTGTGTAGCATGATAACCATGGCATGGCATTTGCTTTCTCACCTGCTGTACTGTTTTGAGGCGCCTCAAAACTAGTGTGTAGCATGATAACCATGGCATGGCATCTGCTTTCTCACCTGCTGTACTGTTTTGAGGCGCCTCAAAACTAGTGTGTAGCATGATAACCATGGCATGGCATTTGCTTTCTCACCTGCTGTACTGTTTTGAGGCGCCTCAAAACTAGTGTGTAGCATGATAACCATGGCATGGCATCTGCTTTCTCACCTGCCGTACTGTTTTGAGGCGCCTCAAAACTAGTGTGTAGCATGATAACCACGGCATGGCATCTGCTTTCTCACCTGCTGTACTGTTTTGAGGCGCCTCAAAACTAGTGTGTAGCATGATAACCATGGCATGGCATTTGCTTTCTCACCTGCTGTACTGTTTTGAGGCGCCTCAAAACTAGTGTGTAGCATGATAACCATGGCATGGCATCTGCTTTCTCACCTGCTGTACTGTTTTGAGGCGCCTCAGAACTAGTGTGTAGCATGATAACCATGGCATGGCATCTGCTTTCTCACCTGCTGTACTGTTTTGAGGCGCCTCAAAACTAGTGTGTAGCATGATAACCATGGCATGGCATCTGCTTTCTCACCTGCTGTACTGTTTTGAGGCGCCTCAAAACTAGTGTGTAGCATGATAACCATGGCATGGCATTTGCTTTCTCACCTGCTGTACTGTTTTGAGGCGCCTCAAAACTAGTGTGTAGCATGATAACCATGGCATGGCATTTGCTTTCTCACCTGCTGTACTGTTTTGAGGCGCCTCAAAACTAGTGTGTAGCATGATAACCATGGCATGGCATCTGCTTTCTCACCTGCTGTACTGTTTTGAGGCGCCTCAAAACTAGTGTGTAGCATGATAACCACGGCATGGCATCTGCTTTCTCACCTGCTGTACTGTTTTGAGGCGCCTCAAAACTAGTGTGTAGCATGATAACCATGGCATGGCATTTACTTCTCACCTGCTGTACTGTTTTGAGGCGCCTCAAAACTAGTGTGTAGCATGATAACCATGGCATGGCATCTGCTTTCTCACCTGCTGTACTGTTTTGAGGCGCCTCAAAACTAGTGTGTAGCATGATAACCACGGCATGGCATTTGCTTTCTCACCTGCTGTACTGTTTTGAGGCGCCTCAAAACTAGTGTGTAGCATGATAACCATGGCATGGCATTTGCTTTCTCACCTGCTGTACTGTTTTGAGGCGCCTCAAAACTAGTGTGTAGCATGATAACCATGGCATGGCATTTGCTTTCTCACCTGCTGTACTGTTTTGAGGCGCCTCAAAACTAGTGCGTAGCATGATAACCATGGCATGGCATTTGCTTTCTCACCTGCTGTACTGTTTTGAGGCGCGTCAAAACTAGTGTGTAGCATGATAAGCAAGGCATGGCATCTGCTTTCTCACCTGCTGTACTGTTTTGAGGCGCCTCAAAACTAGTGTGTAGCATGATAACCACGGCATGGCATCTGCTTTCTCACCTGCTGTACTGTTTTGAGGCGCCTCAAAACTAGTGTGTAGCATGATAACCATGGCATGGCATTTGCTTTCTCACCTGCTGTACTGTTTTGAGGCGCCTCAAAACTAGTGTGTAGCATGATAACCATGGCATGGCATTTGCTTTCTCACCTGCTGTACTGTTTTGAGGCGCCTCAAAACTAGTGTGTAGCATGATAACCATGGCATGGCATCTGCTTTCTCACTTGCTGTACTGTTTTGAGGCGCCTCAAAACTAGTGTGTAGCATGATAACCATGGCATGGCATCTGCTTTCTCACCTGCTGTACTGTTTTGAGGCGCCTCAAAACTAGTGTGTAGCATGATAACCATGGCATGGCATCTGCTTTCTCACCTGCTGTACTGTTTTGAGGCGCCTCAAAACTAGTGTGTAGCATGATAACCATGGCATGGCATCTGCTTTCTCACCTGCTGTACTGTTTTGAGGCGCCTCAAAACTAGTGTGTAGCATGATAAGCAAGGCATGGCATCTGCTTTCTCACCTGCTGTACTGTTTTGAGGCGCCTCAAAACTAGTGTGTAGCATGATAAGCAAGGCATGGCATCTGCTTTCTCACCTGCTGTACTGTTTTGAGGCGCCTCAAAATTAGTGTGTAGCATGATAACCACGGCATGGCATCTGCTTTCTCACCTGCTGTACTGTTTTGAGGCGCCTCAAAACTAGTGTGTAGCATGATAACCATGGCATGGCATCTGCTTTCTCACCTGCTGTACTGTTTTGAGGCGCCTCAAAACTAGTGTGTAGCATGATAACCATGGCATGGCATCTGCTTTCTCACCTGCTGCACTGCTGCTATCCTCAATTCCAGCTGCTCGTTATCCCTCTTCTTCGCCAGGCATTGCTCCTCCAAGCTCTGATGATCGTGTGTAGCATAAAAAGCACCATTGTAAGGTAAGGCATGGTATAGCATGCCATGGCATGGCATGGTATGGCATGGCATGGCATGGCATGGCATGGTATGGCATGGTATGGCATGGCATGGCATGGTATGGTATGGCACGGTATGGAATAGTATGGCATGGCATGGAATGGCATGACTTTATAGTGCACAGAGAAACCGATGTAGAAAGAAAGCAAAACATGATAGTAGGAAGTAAATGTTTAACAAAGGTCTTGAGACGCCTCGAGTCAATCTGCTATCAGGAAGAAAGAGGTGACTTTTGAGTCGACTCAAAGGTCACCTAGCAGGACAAGATAGAAGGAAGTTTTTTATTCACAAAGGTCTTGAGATGCCTCGAAGCCAATTTGCTACCAGGAAGAGAATAAAGCAAGACAGAAGGAAATCACAGGTAAAATGGGGTGCAAATAATATTGATTATCAAAAAGACGGATGACGTTACGAATAAATGTTCCCGTAACCATTATCGTGCACATGATACAGTTGTGCATGCTTAGATCATGATCGTTGGGGGTTCTCTGGTCACCATCACCATCATACCTCCATGCGTTGTCGCTTCCTCTCCCTTGCTTGCTGCGCATTCACCCTGTTCCTCAGCAGCCTGCTCATCAGAACGCCAACCACACAAGAACAAGCATACACAAGTAATTGACCATTCATTCAACCACATTCACTCGCTTCCTCTCCATTGCTTGCTGCGCATTTACCCTGTTCCTCTGCAGCCTGCTCATCGGTTTACCCACCACAGAAACACACATGAAAAGAGTTCAAAGGAGTTCACCAACAACACACCACAAGACGGTTCAGCCGCATTCACCCTGTTCCTCAGCAGCCTGCTTGTCAGAAACCAAACCCCAACAAAAATAAACACACATGAGAAATTCAGGATCTTGTTCACCAGTAACACACACTACGAGTCTATTCAGACGCATTCACCCCGTTCCTCAGCAAACCTGCTTGTAACGATGTCACCGACCACACAAACTACATGCATGAGGTTTTCAACAAGCCAGATCAAAGAAAAAACAAATATACATGAGATATGAGAGAGTGATGCATGGTGAAAAAATTCTGGCACTATGCACCCACCCTACCACAGGAAAGAGGAGATTTGAGAGAGTGGTAAAAATGGAGCTTGAAGTGACTGATTAATAAAGAAGGCATTAGGCCTTAAGTACAACCAAGGTTGGGATGGGCAAAGCTAGAGAAAATATGGGATGGAAATCCAAGCAAATCTCCAATGATGAGTTGGCAGATTTGTTGGATTATGGAAGAATTCCAACCAGACTAGGTTGGGATAATAAATTTACACCCAACCTACAAATAATCTACATGCTGTAAAATAGAGTAAAAAAATGTGCTGACAGCATATTTTTAACAAAGAGGAGATAGGAGAGAGGAGAGAGGTTAATGACGAGAAAATTGGACAGAGAATAGAGGAAAGAGAAGCGACCGCTCTCACCTCCTGTTTCGTCGAGAATCATTAGATGCACCTCTGCCCGCCTCAATGCCACCTCTGCCCGCCTCAATGCCACCTCTGCCCACATCAGTGGCCCCTTCATTCCCACCTCGCACCACCACCCCACCCTCATCACCTCCTCTCGCAGGAGAACCCTCTTTCTCCCCACCTTCCTCTCCCCTTTCCGCCACCAACCCCCCTCCCACCGCCCCTTCCTTCCCCTCTTCCCCCATCAACCCCCCTTGCTCCCCTCCTTCCTTCCTGCCTCCCACCACTACCGCCTCTTCCTCTCTTCCTTTTCCTACCAACTCTCCTTTTCCCCCTGCTTTCTCCCCACATTCCTCCCCAAGCGCCCCATGCACCTTCCCTAGCACAGCCACTGTATTTGCAATTGCCACGTGGCTGGCGTTCATTGGCTCCCCTGTTGCCCTAGCCAATTGGCTCCCACTGCTGCTGCCACTGGTGCCAGATCCTGTGGAAGGCACGAGCTGCTTATAACGAGGGGAGAGATGCTTGCCGTCCTTCGGGCGTGCAGGCAGGATGCGTCGAGGGGAAAGGGCCGGCCGGAGGGAGGCAATCGGTCCTGGAAAGAGAACTTGCTGCGGGGATAGGGCAGGATAAACGACAGACCCAGCTTGATTTCTAGATTCTAGCGGAAATGTACTTGGTTGCTGCACCTTCCTTCCCAGATGCCCTGCCTCCTCTGGTCTTCGTGGTTCTCCCAGCGCGAGTGTCCCTGACTGCTGCTCATTCCTTCCCAGATTCCCTTCTACCCCCGGTCTTCCTGCTTTGCCTGATGCATAGCCTCCTGCCCCTCCTCCTCCTGCCTCCCCACCTGTATTTCTTCTGTAGTTTTTTCCTGAGGGGATCACTCCACTCTCTAAAGACCAGCCAGGAGCAACTGGATAGCAGACAGACCCCCTTTCTTGCACCAACCCCCTCCTTTGCTCCAATCCCCCTTCTCGAATCGATCCCCTGTCTTGCACTGACCCCGTTTGTCGCATGGATCTCGTTTCTTGTGAAAAAATCCTGCTTTTCTGCGAAAGTGTTACTCCTCCCCTCCATCCTCCAACTCCCCCTCCTCCTCCTCCTCCTCCTCCTCCTCCTCCTCCTCCTCCTCCTCCTCCTCCTCTAATTCCCGCACCTCCTCCTGCCAACCCTCCTGCTGCTAACCCTCCAGCTGGTAACCCTCCCCTTGAAATCCCTCCAACTGGTAACCCTGCTGCTTGTAACGCTCCTGCCGATAACCCTCCCGCTGATAACCCTCCTCCTGGTAACCCTTCTGCTGGTAAACCTCCTGCTGGTAACCCTCCTGCTGGTAACCCTCCTGCTGGTAACCCTTCTGCTGGTAACCCTCCTGCTGGTAACCCTCCTGCTGGTAACCCTCCTGCTGGTAACCCTCCTGCTGGTAACCCTCCTGCTGGCAACCCTCTCGCTGGTAACCCTCTCGCTGGTAACCCTCCTGCTGGTAACCCTCCTGGTAACGCTGCTGCTGATAACCCTCCTCCTGGTAACTCTGCCGCTGGTAACCCTCCTCCTGGTAACCTGCCTACTGGTAACGCTTCCGCATGTAACTGTTGACCTGGTAACAGCCCCCTTGGGAACGCTCTGCCTCGTAACAACTCTTCTAGCCCACCCTGTAACAGCCCACCCTGTAACAGCCCACCCTGTAACAGCCCACCCTGTAACAGCCCACCCTGTAACAACCCACTTGGTAACGAAACACCTTGTACCAACCCTCTTTGTGACAACCCACCTTGTAACAACCCACTTTGTGACAACCCACCTTGTGACAACCCACCTTGTAACGAATCACCTTGTAATAATGAACCACCTTGTAGTATTGATGACCCAGCTTGTAATAACCCAGTCTGTAACAATATACCTTGTAACAACTGCCCTGGTAACCCAGTAACAAGCACCGATTGAGCGAGTGGTTGGGTCGGTATAGTTTGTCCGGAGGCGGATGGGATTGTACCAATCAGAGCCCTGGCTGCTGGAAAACTGGTCAGAGGTGGAAGCAGATTGGCTGTTGCACTGAAGGGTGAATTTGAAGGGGGATGGGACTGAGGTTGCAAAATGCGACGAGGTTGGACTGTCTCATTTTGAGTCGCATCAAACCTGGAATCAAGTCGAAGATGTGACTGTATCGAAGGCTGCAGTGTTTGAGGTTGTATCGTGGCTGTCCGTGAGTCTAAGGTGGGCCGTTCCTGGCTGTACAGATGCTGGAAAGATGCAGGTGCTGAATGCCCTGTGACAGAGGAAGGTTAGGAGAGGGAAGAGACGATCAAGAGGAGTTGATGAAGTCTAACATTGCAAAAAAAAAAAAAAAACACACACACACACACACAAGAGAAAATCGGGATTCACTGATAAACAGGTGGACAGATATAAACAAGTTGTAAACTAGCAACAATCTGTAAAATAAAGGAAAACGAACAAACAACCATAGGTGTTGCGGAGCATGCTAAAAAATGTCGCCTGTTGGAGGAAAAATAGGTGCACCTGTGTGTCGGTGGTCATTCCTTGGTGATTGGGCAGGCGTTTCGCTTGCTGTATGACCCAGTGGCATATCTGTATGAGCCACTAATGTATTGCCATGCCTGGAAGGAACGAAAGCAACAAGAAAATGTGTTGACAATTAATTAGATTAACAAAAGTGGAAAATAATGCAATGATTCATCAGCCACATGCTCCTTTATGGTTCAAAAGAGAACAGCGCTTTGTACTTACCATACCATACGCAATCACATATGCAACTTTTTTAATCGAATAACGGAACGTACCTTGAGACGGGGACGCGTTGCTGTGATTCCTCCGCAAACCTTCCACAGCTGGCTAGGGTTTCAAAAACCTCCGCATACTGCCTCGTCAAAGCAACTTCTCTTCTGCTGAAACCTCCACCCTCATTTCTCTCTCCCTGCTGCTGTAGCTGCTGCTTCTGCTCTGAATCCACTTGTTCGTGCTGCAGCTGTTCGTGTTGCCGCGGCTGCGCCTGTCCAGTTAGTACTAGCGCTAGTAAGCGCTGCTGTTCCGCCGCCTGAATTTCCTGCTGCGCCAATCCCTGTTGCGGTGCCTGAAATCTCTCCGCGGGTGGACCTTGGGATTGCCGCGGTACTGACTGCCTCGTCACCTGATTTGTCTCGAACCCGGCGGCTCCCGTCTGGATAGTTGGCGATGAAGCCGTTAGGGTGGTTCTAGGACCAAGCGCCGCGGCTTGATCCGCTTCGTCGCTGCGTATCACGGAAGGCGCGGCGAGATCCCTTCCGCCGCCGCGGCCGCTGAGGCTCTCTCGCTCGGCAGCGGCGGCGGAGGCGTCGAGTCGCATGCGGTTTGCATGTCGCTGCAGCAGAATGGTCGCTAAAAGACTGTCGTTGCTGCGATTGCGACTTCGGTTCTCACCCTGACCTCGATTCTGATTTCGTTTTTGATTTTTATTGCTCTTGCTCGGACTCTGCTTCAGGCTCGAATTGTGGCTTGGACTCTGGTCGAGGCTCGTACTCTGGTGTAGGCTCGGATTCTGATTCAGGCTCGGACCCTGGTTCGGACCCTCGCTCAGGCTCGGACTCCCACTGTCAGACGGAGGGACGCGGCTCATTTCTCTACCACATGTGCTAAATAGTGCGCCGCCTACCGTTGGCAGTCTCGCGACGCCCTTATCACGACCGCGTCTAGGGCTCTATGATTCCAGCGTTCGAGTCTTGAAATGCTCTGTTAGACGCCGCCGCAGAGACGGTGCGAATGGAAAGCACAGCTGACGTCTTCCACGCTGCAGCTTTGTTTTGCTCAGCGCCGCCGCACTTATTTTGGAGGCCGCTGTGCGCCGCTGCTGCTAGGAGCGCGGCGGCTGCTGCTAGACGCGTCGCCGCGGACTGTCGCTGATTAGGAGCGTCGTTGTGTAGGACGGCTGCTGTTGACGAGCGCTGCTTACTACACTTGGTCCTACGTGCAGAGGCGTTTGGCGCAGTTCGAAGCTTTCTTACCAGACCTACTAAGTCTTCAACCGCAGTACCACGGCTATTTTTATCGTCACCCGATCGTGGATTTGCGGCACTCCAGCCGTTGCGAAGGAGAACCTGCGTGCGATTGTTTCTTCTTCTTGTCACGGCGCTGAAGCCAGCACGCGGTTACTGGTGAGACGATCAAATGATCACATCACATCGGCACCCCTCACGTAGTAGTATGTAGTATCATGTAGTATTCCCGGACTTATCTCATCTCGTACGACAAATCGCAGGTAGTAGAGTGTCAGCGGGATCTCTCGATTCGGGAGGGGTGGGTGCCGCCAAACCGAAAGCCCGACAGCCTCGAAGACAGCGGCATAGATGATTCTCCAGAGTAACGGTTGGACTCAAGTGCTGCGAGCAGCACTGAAAATGGACGAAGCCGGGAGATTCTCAGCGATGGCCCGGAATCGCTAGTTGTGATTCCCCCATTGTTCGCTTGAAAGAGTACGTGCTCCGCGTTGGACGGGAAGTAGCCAGCGTCAAAATCTCGCGTTTCTGCTCCCTTGGTAAGTGTGCAGCGACCACGGCGGAACCAATAGCACCTGGCCAGACCCCCCACGTGGCTGTCGTCAGCACCCACGGCACCGGAAGCGTCGCAGAAAAGTTACGAATCTCAGCAACTCGTCAGGAGACTGGAGCCTGGCGTTCCCGCTCTTGTTGGTAGTTCGACCGCGCGGGGGTGAGGCGTAGGTGGTTGTTGATGGGTCGAAAGGAGGAGAGAACAGATTCGGCGGTGTTTGTTGGCGATCGTGGTGGGTGGGCCCGTCACGCTGCCGTACGATTAGCCGAAAGGTGCTTGCAACTTCGTTGCTCCCGACAGTGTGCGCTAGTGTGCTAGCCAAAAAAGGTGCTTGGTAGGACAAGAGCGGAATACGAGGGCGGGCTGTCTGCGTGCAGCGTGGCTGTAAGCACAGCACGCGTGCTAAAACAATCGCGTCAATACCTAGGGAGTTTCCGGAAGGGCGTGAAGGGTTGAGCCTGGAAGGAAGTTGAAGCGAGCTGTCAAAGCACTCGTCTCGACTCTCGCTGCATGAAATTGTACGATAGTACGGAAAGGGAGTGATGCTTGCGGCGGAATTTGACGAACAAGCCAACGCTTTGTACTACTGAACTGACTGTCAGCTACCTCATTGCCAACCAGTCTAGCTGAATACAGCTGCTGTAACGTTTGTTCCTTTCCCGTCATCAGCCGCGGACTTCACTTTGCGGACATTACTCCCTTCAGCAGTGGCTGGCTGGTGGTCAGGACACCAAATTCGACTTCGAGTCGGCCTAATGATGCGGAGATTGCTTCTGACCGACTTTTGATTCAGAATTCCTCCTAATGCGACGCGATTAGAAGAAATTTCAGTTCTCACCGCTTCAAAAGTACAGATTGGTGTCAGGCATGCTACGCTGTTGATTGATGTTGTGGGTGAGAACACGACACGCCGTGCAGCAATGGAGTTGAAGTTGTTGGTCGTCAGTTTCGAGAAGTGTATTTTGTACCTTTTCGAATGAAGGGAATGGTGGGTGTGAAAGTGGACAGAAAATAGGAGAGCAGAGAGAAGGATGGAATGCGGTTTAGAAGAGCTCAGATGCTTCTGGAGGTATATTTGGCCAAGGGGGCGAGCATACTCCCCCTCACACACGAGTTAGGGCTCGTCCGTAGTTTTGACATGTCAAAATCGCCAGTGTCAATCTTCCGTTTTGACACTACCAACATTGTTGGCAGAGTGTCAAAATTTCGCAGATTGTTAGCCAGTCGTACATTTTCGCTTCTGACGCAGTCTATACCAGCGAACCAACCATAGTCGTCGCATCAGCAAATCTGATCACCCCTAGTACCCAATAACAACGCACCGACCCCTGACAGCTAGTTGATTCTTTTCGCTACATCGGACGTGGGCGAATCATCTGGGAACACTAGGTGTTCCAACGAATAAGCTTGCATCTTTGCTGTTCGCACAAGCGCTTCGGGTTGACACTGATTGTACAGTGATTGACACGCAAAATCATGCGCGCGTCGGGTTGACACGCATAAACTTCACATGTCAAAACTACGGACACCACCTTAAAAGAACCAAGAGATGAAGGCTTCCAGAGAGCTGTACATTCTGGAAGCAGTTTGCTTCCTAGCTGTCTTTCCATTCGGGGAACTATCGGTTCCATTTTCGAGCTTGGAGGAGTGCCACGAAAGCTGCCTCCCCGCGTCCCCAAACACAACCTGGGTGTGGGACATAAGTAGCACTGATGTCACCTAAGTAGCATTGAGAATCCACCTGGGTTTCGCAGGTTTATAGGTGGATTCTTGGTAGTTCATTCAGCTGGGTGTGAGAATTCCGAGCGTGTGCCAAGAGCGTGTGAAACGCGAAATCTGATGTGCTGCCCGTTGGCAGAAAATACATCCACGGGCTGCTACTGTAGTGGACACCCACCACCCCACCCCACCTGCCACACCACATAGCGACTCGCTGTAAAATGCCTGTCTCCGCCGTGTTGGCAACGAGATCATAGGAAGTCGTGGCGTTCACATCCGTGGCATTCTACCATTTGTCCACGGATAACAAAACAGTTGACCCGACTGTAATTTGGCAGTGTCCCTTGAGGGGACGAGCAAGAATGCCACGGTGGTCAACTGCACCTCAAACTTCATAGCAATTAAAGCGAGCAGGCAAAATAGTCACCCTTGGCCCAGTTTGAAACTCTGACACTGTTTAGAGAGGGTGCTCTGGGCTCGACAAGATGGGGCTCATGTTCATTTGACCCGTGTCATTCCAAGGTACAGGCTGAAACAAAAACAGGCGATTGGACAACAATGTCCTGGGTCGAATGCGAACAATGGCATTGGTGGGTCTGCTCGCAAGCAAACGAAGGCACCGCGTGGGTTATCCTGTGCGACAGGGGATCGAAATCGAATGTCATGCTCTGCTGGGAGAGGAGTACACGAAATGAACTGACGCGCTGGGAACAGAGCCACAAAACCAGGTGCAAAAACAGAAGTGCGCAAGACTGGGTCCACTGGGCCCAATTTGAGCTTCAAAGTGGACCTGGGTTGCACTCTGGCTTGCCATACTATTTTCACGTCATACGGCACTAGAGACTCCAGAGCAAAGGGAGAGTAACCCACCACGGCTTAGTAACGCGTGAAAGGGGCCGCGCGCGTAGCGTTGTTTTTCTGTTTCGGTCATAGCTGTCAATCGTGTGCCTTCTCAGTGCTGGCGCCGTCAGTATCAGCCAGAACAGAGCGAATGCAGTGATTATTCTTACCAACATCGAAGGAGATATCAGGGACAAGGTAGCGGGTAGCATAGATAGATGTAGCAAACAGGGACCCCATCGTTTCAGGTGTGACGGACTCAATGCGTTTCGCATATCATGTGAACACGTGACACTACGTTCAACGAGGACGAATATCTCGAATGTATACTCATCAGGTGCGATTCGGAACCGGCGTGAGGCGTATGGGAGCAAGCCATTACATCACGCATGCGACCGTGACGCATGCGGCCTCGTGATATGCTGCGCAATGCAGTAGAACAAACTGCAAGGCGCCCCTACTCGTTTTCTAACAGATTAGAAGCAACGTCGCGACCCCCCGTCACAGTCGAACACAAGGCGGCGCGAAGCGCCGAAGCGCGCTTGTGTTCGACATTGCATAGGCTCAACGCTGCACCTATTATTCAGATTTCGAACGGATTGCAACGCCTCGACCTTGCCTACTAGATCCGCGCGGAATGCAAGGCATAGCGCCGCGCTTCTCGTTTAGGCACGGAATGCCTGATGCACAGCGCCGCGTCAGCTTGTTTCCACACGGAAACAAGTAGGGAAGAGCGCCACGCCTGCTTGGCGTCACACGGAATGCAAGGCCCAGCGCCGTGCCTGCTCGTTTTCACACGGAATGCAAGGCCCAGCGCCGTGCCTGCTCGTTTTCACACGGAATGCAAGGCCCAGCGCCGTGCCTGCTCGTTTTCACACGGAATGCAAGGCCCAGCGCCGTGCCTGCTCGTTTTCACACGGAATGCAAGGCCCAGCGCCGTGCCTGCTCGTTTTCACACGGAATGCAAGGCCCAGCGCCGTGCCTGCTCGTTTTCACACGGAATGCAAGGCCCAGCGCCGTGCCTGCTCGTTTTCACACGGAATGCAAGGCCCAGCGCCGTGCCTGCTCGTTTTCACACGGAATGCAAGGCCCAGCGCCGTGCCTGCTCGTTTTCACACGGAATTCAAGTCACAGCAACGCGCCTGCTCGTTGTTACGCGGAATGCAAGGCATAGCCCCGCGCATGCTCGTTTCCACACGGAATGCAAGGCACAGTCCCGCGCATGCTCGTTTTCCCACGGAACGCAAGGCACAGTCCCGCGGCGCATGCTCGTTTCCACACGAAATGCAAGGCGCAGTCCCGCGCATGCTCGTTTTCACACAAAATGCAAGGCACATTCCCATTTATGCTCGTTTTCACACATGATACAAGGCACAGCGACGCGCCTGCTCGTTTTCAGACGAGGAGCAAGGCGCAGCGCTGCCCCTGCTCGTTTTCACGTGGTGCGCAAGGCACAATGCCGCGCCTGCTCTTTTTCAACCGGAGTGCAAGTCACAGCGCCTCGTCTGCTCTAATTTGTTTGGAGAGCAGGGCACTGCACTCCCATCCCTCTATCCCTCCCTAATTCCTCTTTTCTCCAATCCCTCTGCAATACCCCTTCCCTATGTCCCCCCCCGTTTCCCCATTTCCAGTCCTGCATTCGCGCCCCCTGGCTTAGGGTTCAAGACCCCCGACGGGCTTGATTTGCCCAACGCCGCAAGTGTGTGCTGGTGTGAGTGTCCCCGCTCAGGTGTGTACCTGGTGTGTGCCTGGTGTTCACCTGTGCGCCCCCACCTACCTTGCTCATACCGTCACACCCATCACGCTCCTCTTCACAACCTTCCCACGTCACCCATCCTCGTCACACCCTTTCGAGGCTTGAAAGAGGGGTTGATCGGCATCGGGGCTCATGCAAGGTCGCCGTCCCACACACCCTCGCTTGCCCTTTTTCCCAGCCATTCCCCGTATGCCCAATGTGTCTGCCCCAGGCCACTCGTGCGATGGGACATGAGCAGCCCGGCCTGGCCCAGCCTCCCCATTTCCCCTTTTCTCTGACCTCCCCATTTCCCCTTCCTCTGCAAATTCAATTCCCCTTGCCCCTGTCACTCCCCATTTCCCCTTCCCTCTGTCCCTTCCCCATTTCCCATTCCCTCTGTCCCTTCCCCATTTCCCCTTCCCTCTGTCCCTTCCCCATTTCCCCTTCCCCCAGTCCCTCCCCATTTCCCCTTTTCTCTGACCTTCCCCATTTTCCCTTCCAATACCAGCCCAAGTCCCCTTGTCCCTGTCACTCCCCATATCCCCATTTCCCCGCCACTCCGTGTTTCCCCTTCCCCCGGTCCCCCATTATTTCCCCTTGTCTTGTCACTCCCCTTATCCCCTTACCCCTGTCCCTCCCCATTTCCCCTCTTCTCTGACCTTCCCCATGTTCCCTTCCAATGCCAGCCCAATTCCCCTTGTCCCTGTCACTCCCCATTTCCCCTTTCCCCTGTCACTCCTTGTTTCCCTTCCCCCAGTCCCTCAGCATTTCCCCTTGTCCTGTCACTCCCCTTATCCCCTTCCTCTTTGTGCTTTCCCATCTCCTCTTCTTTCTCACACCACAATTTCCCCTTCCGTTTTGTCTCTCCCACTTCCCCTGCCATCTGTCCCTCCCATTTCACATTCCCCCTGTCCCTCCCATTGCCACTTTCCTCTGTCCCTCTCAATTCCCCTTCCCTCTGCCCCTCCCCATATCCCTTCTCTCTATCGCTCCCCATTCCCCGTTCCCAACACTGCATGTTACCCCTTCCCTCTGTCACTCCCCATTTCCCCTTCCCTCCGTCCCTCCCCATTTCCCATTTCCAACACTCCATCCACCCTTTCCCTCTGCCCCTCCCCTTTCTCCTCCCCTCCGTCCCTCCACATTACCCCTTCCCTCTGTCACTCCCTGATTCCCTTTCAATACACTTCATGCTTTCCCTCCGTCACTCCCGATTGCCACTTCCACTGTCCTTTACCAAATCCCCTTTTCTATATAACCCTCCCATTATCCCTTTCCTCTCCCCCCCCCGCCCATTTCCCCTGCCCTTTGTGCTTCCCCATCTCCTCTTCTCTCTCACACCACCATTTCCCCTTCCCTTTTGTCTCTCACGTTTCCCCTGCCATCTGTCCCTCCCATTTCCCTTTCCCCCTGTCCCTCCCATTGCCACTTTCCTCTGTCCCTCCCAATTCCCCTTCCCTCTGCCCCTCCCCATATCCCTTCTCTCTGTCGCTCCCCATTCCCTGTTCCCAACACTGCATGTTACCCCTTCCCTCTGTCCCTCCCCATTTCCCCTTCCCTCTGTCCCTCCCCATTTCCCCTTCCCTCTGTCCCTCCCCATTTCCCCTTCCCTCTGTCCCTCCCCATTTCCCCTTCCCTCTGTCCCTCCCCATTTCCCCTTCCCTCTGTCCCTCCCCATTTCCCCTTCCCTCTGTCCCTCCCCATTTCCCCTTCCCTCTGTCCCTCCCCATTTCCCCTTCCCTCTGTCCCTCCCCATTTCCCCTTCCCACTATCTCTCCCATTTCCCCTCCCCTCTCCTCCCACTTTCCCCTTCCCCTTTCTCTGTCCCTCCCCATTTCCCCTACCCTCTGTCCCTCCCCATTTCCCTTCCCTCTGTCCTGCCCCAATCCCACTTCACTCTGTCCCTCCACATTGCCCCTTCTCTCTGTCACTCCCTTATTCCCTTTCCCATACACTCGATGTTACCCCTTCCCTCTCACTTCCAATTGCCACTTCCTCTGCCCTTACCCAAATCCCCTTTTCCCTCTCCCTCCCATTGCCACTTCCCTCTGTCACTCCCATTACTCCTTCCCTCTGCCCCTCTCCATTTTCCCTGCCCTCTATCCTTCCCCATCTCCTGTTCTCTGTCTCACTCCCATCCCCCCCATTTGGTTTCTCCCCTCCCCCCTCCCCTCCCCCCCCCCCCCCCCATTTCCCCCTTACCCTCCGGTGTATCCCTCCCCCCCTTTCCTTCGCACTCACACCTCCACCCAACCCCGCTGCTATGACTCTCACTGCTGAAAATCTTTCACCCCTCCGGCGATCTACGGTCACACTCCCCGCTGTCCTTGCAATGCCACCCACACTCAACCCCCAAACCCCTCACACTTTCCCATTCCCCCCTGCTATTGCGACTCACCCACCAATCGATGGCCATCATTCACACACGCGGGACACTTACCCAAATCACACCTTCCCACTTTCGTACATCCGCTGCTCCAGTCTGCTTTTGCCCTATCTAAGCAGTATCCCTATTCCCTCGATCCCCTGCCCTCACTCACCTATCTCTCTGATTTGTCTTTCTGCTCCTTCCCACACCGACTATGAGAATCGAATCATTCGGTCCTTTCCATCCCCACCCACCTTAGTCACACACACCCCTCCGCCCCCACTCAACCCCTACCCTTCTCTCAGTTGCTCACCTTCCTTCCCGTCACTCCCACTCCCCACATGTGCTCTCGATTACCCGCTTCGGCCCCACATGCCCACTGCAACCTGTTACGGTATCTCCCTCAACTTTGACCACTAATCACTCCACACTGGCTATACCCTTGGCAGGTATGATGATGTAAGCGTTTTTTTTTTTCTTTTTGTTTGTTTGTTTGTTTTTTGTTTTTGTTTTTTTTTTTGCACCCAACAAGTGAACAACACTAAGACGCCCTCCACTCGCTTCCGTTTTTCTATGATTTTCCACACCACAGGCTCGCCAGACTATCCGCCCTTGGGTCATACACCCGGCTCATCTTCCATGGACATTGAGATCAGATTTTTTTTATTCCATTATATTTGGGGCTTACATCACCCTATCTCCGTCTGCGTGTCTGCCAACAGCATGTATCAATAAGAGTTAACTCTTCTCTCCACATAGGTTCTTTGCTAGTTTCACACAACGATGTGACCCGACGAGCTGCCAAATAGTGGCCATATCCTCAACGTCTGAAAGCTGGGACGTTCAATTTGTTTCATGGACGCACAACCCAAGTCAACATTAGAAGGTTTTGCAAACATTGATACTGTAGGGTGAAATTCACTAGCTGCTCCTTTGTCTGTAGTACCAGCAGCCCCACCAGCAACAGCCCCACCCTGTCGATGTGCTGTGCGCTGCGGCAGTGGCAGCGGCAACACGTGCTTCTCTGCGGTGAAAGGCGACCAAAGATACAGCTCCAGCAGCACTGACAGGCCTGTGTGTTGGGGTGGACACAGGGCAGTAGACTGCAGACATCAACACAGAGATGGAATGAAAGGGTGTGAGCGGGATGAAATGAGAGTGAGAGGGGGATGGACTGAGAGTGAGAGTGGGATGGAATGAGAGAGATGAGGGTGGGAAGGAATGAGAGTGGGAGGGCGTGAAGACTGGGGAAGTGAAGGATCCGCACCTTGCTGTCAGTATCCTGATGCGATGCTTCTAGGTCGTCCTCCTGGCAGGGAGGATGTGGGAAGGGGGGAGCAGGAGCAGGATGGGGGAAGAGGCAAAGAAGAAGCAAAGCAGGGTCGGGGAGGGGCACATGGGCAGGGAGAGGATAGACCTATGGAGAGGTAGAGTAAGGGATCAAGGGGAGGCCCCTTGAAAATGGCAGCACTGCAAATGCATTAGCAATTGCTTGCTCCAGGGATCTGGCAGGCCCTTCAGCTATCATATCCCTCTCCCTTTCCCTCTGACCCATCGATCCCCTCATCTCATACCCTGGGCTCACCTGGCGTGTGGGAAAATATCACCTGAGAATATGGAGGGGGGCCCAAGAAGGGAAGGGGATGGGGGGATGCAGGGAAGGGGATGGGGAGAAGCAGGGCAGGGGATCGGGGGAACCAGGGCATGCACGAGAGAGGAGCAGGGAAAGGGAACGCGGGCAGACGAGAAGGATAAGCACCAAACTCACATGACCGGCCTCCTAATTCCCACACCTAACGGCCCATCAATCCCTTCCCCCAAACCCACCTTTACCAAATCCCCGTACCTCACACGCCCGTCTTTTCTGCGCCATGTGTGCAACGTTCCAGTCACGGATTTCCATGCTGTCTCCTGCATCAGGTTCCTCACAATCTGGCTCCTCGGCTGGTCCCAATCGCTAACCCCCTCCTTACTGCCCACCTGCCCACCTGCCCACCTGTGTAGCGCGCCATGGTGCCTGGAAGATGAAATGCGGACCAGGAAACGCGAAGGCAGGAAGGAAAAATGGAAGGAAGGCAGACGCATGTCTCAGCTTTGTCCTTTCCGTTGACCAGAAGGAAGCCGCCGTAATGATACACCTGCCCACCTGTGTACCGCGCCAAGGTGTCTGATGGAGGGGAGTGGATGGGAGTGGAGGGGAGTGGAGGGGAGTGGAGGGGAGTGGATGGGAGTGGAGGGGGGTGGAGGGGAGTGGAGGGGAGTGGATGGGAGTGGAGGGGAGTGGAGGGGAGTGGAGGGGAGTGGAGGGGAGTGGAGGGGAGTGGAAGGGAGTGGAGGGGAGTGGAGGGGAGTGGAGGGGAGTGGAGGGGAGTGGAAGGGAGTGGAGGGGAGTGGAGGGGAGTGGGGGGGGTGGAGGGAGTGGAGGGGAGTGGAGGGGAGTGGAAGGGAGTGGATGAGAGGGAGACTAGGAATAACATAGACGCATCTGGCTCCGGAGCTTGTCCCCCCCGTTGACCAGATGGAAGCCGCCGTAATGATACACCTGCCCACCCGTGTAGTGCGCCAAGGTGCCTGGTGAGTGAGGGGGGCAGGGAGGCAGGTAGGCAGAGAGGCAGGGAGGGAGGGAGGCAGGGAGACAGGGAGGCAAGAGGGACAGAGAGACAAGAAAGGACTTAGACGCATCTGGATCCGCAGCTTGTCCCCGTCATTGGCCGGATGGAAGCCGCTGAAGTGATACACCTGCCCACCTGTATAGCGCGCCAAACGTGCCTGGAGGAGGGTGGAGGGGAGTGGAAGAGCGAAGAGCGGAGACACGAAGCAGCTAGTGTTGGAGCAGTTGGGCAGGTGTACCATTTCAGGTCAGGTGCCCACCCACGTCAATGCCAGGTGGCCAGGTGGAGTGGAACCCTGACTACTAGCGCCGCACCTGAGGATCTTCACTCATAGCGGAAGAGCTGCAATTCTGAAGATTGGAAAACGCTTAAAGCAACAGCATCGAAACTTAAAAAAATTCTTCCTGGAAAAAAGCTCAGTAGAACTCGTAAAACCCTTTCACTAAAGCAGAACCTTACAGCACAAACCAGTTTCGGCTCACGGGGATCATACCCGCTCAGCCTTCATTAGTGTAGCTCGGATCCACAAAAGAAAAGGTTCGGACAGAAGCAGGCTAAGTAGCTAGCACATGCCCTCGAGATCTACAGCAAAAACGAACAACTACCCAGAGTGACAAATCACTCGGCCAGCTAAGCGATTGGGGTACACCCAGGGTGCAAAGTCAGCCCTCGGGGAAATCTTCGTCAACCTGTTCGTTGATGTAACCGCGCGCGCACCAGTAACTTTTGCAAGTTACACGCACACTTCCAAGCTGTAATAATTCTCTCCGTATGAAATTCGCGTGCAGTGAGGTCGTTTTTGAGGCGCCTCAAAAACCACCCACGTCAATGCCAGGTGGCCAGGTGGAGTGGAACCCTGACTACTAGCGCCGCACCTGCCCGCTCACCAGTGTGGCACGGCGAGGTGTGTAGAGGAGAGCGGAGTGGAGGGTGAGCAGGAACATGCCAAAACCAACTCACCAAGAGAAGCCAGGTCGCAGTTTTTGCTGCTGAAGACAAACATTTCGACACAAATCTGCGCGCGGGAGAACTCGGCCGCTGGTGACTTATAAAAAGCGTCTTCAGAGCAGTGCGCGGTCGAGCTCCCTGTCCGTGCCGTACAGCCGGGGATCGTCGCCTCTCAGCCTCAGCCTGCCTGCTCCGATGCAGGGTATAGGATGGGGGGATGCAGGGTATAGGATGGGGGGATGCAGGGTAGGGGACGGGGGGATGCAGGGTAGGGGACGGGGGGAAGCAGGGAAGGGGATGGGGGGAAGCAGGGAAGGGGATGGGGGGAAGCAGGGGAGGGGATGGGGGGAATCAGGGGAGGGGATGGGGGGAAGCAGGGCAGGGGATCGGGGGAAGCAGGGCAGGGGATCGGGGGAAGCAGGGCAGGGGATTGGGGGAAGCAGGGCAGGGGATCGGGGGAAGCAGGGCATGCACGAGAGAGGAGGGGTACATGGGAGGGACAGGAAAGAGGGTGAGATAGAGGGAGAGGAGGGGCATATGAAGAAGTTGAAGGCTCACCTGGTGTGTAGCGCTAACCTCTCTGATGGTGGGGGGAAGCAGGGCATAGGGAGGGCGGAAGCAGGGAGGAGGGAGGGGGGAAGCAGGGCGGAGGGAGGGGGGAAGTAGGGGGGAGGGAGGGGGGAAGCAGGGCGGAGGGAGGGCGGAAGCAGGGAGGAGGGAGGGGGGAAGGGGAAGCAGGGAGGAGGAGGGAGGGGGGAAGCAGAGCGGAGGGAGGGGGGAAGCAGGGCGGAGGGAGGAGGGAAGCAGGGAGGAGGGAGGGGGGCAGCAGGGAGTAGGGAGGAGGGAAGCAGGGAGGAGGGAGGGGGGAAGCCGGAGAGGGACAGGAGAATAGGTTGTAAGGGAGGCAGGTCAAAATAAAGAGGGGTGTAAACGGTGATGCCAGAAGTGAGGGGGACTGGGGGAGGGAGTGAGGGGTGTACAGGCTCTCCCCCTCTCTCTCTCCCTGTCTGCCCCTCCCCCTCCGTTCTTCCCCTCTGTCCTTCCCCTGCAGTCTCTCCCCCTCAGTCCTTCCCCTTCTTTCTCTCCCCCTCTGTCCTTCCCCTTATGCCTCTCCCAATCTGTCCTGCCCCCTCTGTCTCTCCCCCTGTGTCCTTGTCCCTTTGTCTCAAACCCTCGGTCCTTACCCCTCTCTCCTGAGAGGAGTACATGAGAGGGACATTGGAAGGGGGGAAGAGAGCAAGGTAGTGAGGGACGGAGGAAAGGAAGCGAGGGGAGAGATGGGGGTTCCCAGGAGAGATGGAGGGAGGAAGAGGCGATTCGGGTGGTTGGGGGTGTGCTACCGGGGGAATCATTGGCGGACTTCATGTGCGAGTATAGGCTGCGCGCGCGAGAAAATGAAGAGGCGGGGTCGATGGGGAGAAGCGCGTGGGCAACGACGAGGCGGGGGCGACGAGGTTCCGCGCGGGGGACAGATTGCGAGGCGGGGGCGACGCGGTCCAGCGCGTGGGAAATGACGAGGCGGGAGCGACGAGGTGAAGCGCGTGGGAAATCGCGAAGCGGGGGCGACGAGGAGATGTTGAATTAAAGCAGTTTCGCGACTAAATCAGTCACGTGCACGGGAAGAAACAGGCACAAACGGACTCACTTGCACACATCCGCGCATGCAACATTTCGATCGGTTCTGGTGTCGGGCTAGCGCGCGCTGCGCCGTGCCTCAACAGAATCGATACTAGCTTCGACTAATCGCCGCGGGAGGTGCTACTACAGCTATGCTACTCAGTGTCGAGCGGCTTTGGTGCCAGACATTTAGTCAGGGGGTTGGCAGGGCGTGTTCGAGATGGGCGCTGCTCATTTCTCACGTGGCTTCTGTTGAATATGTTTCAATTGGGGTGTTTCTGTCGCGGGTTGCTGGTGCTGCAGGAGTGTTCATTCTGCCTTGACGGTCCAATCAGAAGATGCAAATCCTACACATGATTGGGTGAGGAGAAGGTTTGATCGCTAATGCATTCACAATGCTGTCGCCAACCACACATGCGATCAACTGGACCCTGATTTTTTTTTTTGCTCCCCTCCCGTGGGGTACATGCCTCCTTTCTTTTGGCGCGTAAATTCTGGCCATCCACCCGCACTCCTTCCCGCCACTTCACTCATTTCAACCTGGACCCAACTAGAAAACGGGGTCACTATTTTGCCTGCTCGCTTTAAGGGATCATACGTGTAGAAAAATAGAACCAAGGCAACATATTACGGTAATCGAAAACGATTCTGGGAAAAAAAAAAAAAACACCACAACTGAACCTGCTCTCAATTTTAATGAAATCCCCTTTCATCCTCCCTCCTCTTGCTCCTCTTCCTCCTCTTCCAACGCATCCCTAAACAGAAGCTGAAAGACAGGCACCAGCTCCGGCAGCCTCGGCAAGTCACAAAAATTCACCGACATCAGATCAAATGCAATCGCCGCACTCCCACTTCCGTCGCCCTCAACATCCCCGCCACCGGCTTTCTTCTTATTTTTCACCGGGGGCGCGAGGCGGGGAATTTTAGGGTAGCGTTGGCTGAAGTGGGTGAGAATGGTGAGATAGGCGGGGGCAGATGCACCCACCTCCACTGCCTCACTTGTCGTGCTGTGCTTACGGGCTATCGCCTCGTGCTGCAAGTCATCTTCAAAAGTCGCCTGGAAATGTGGGAGGGAGGTGGGGATGGGAATCGGGGAATTTAAGCAAGGTAGTGGTGCTGGTGATGTGCCCACCTCCACCGCCTCACTTGTCGTGCTGTGCTTTCGAGCTATCGCCTCGTGCTGCAAATCATCCTCAAATGTCGCCTGGGAGTGTGTGAGGGAGAGGGAAGGGAGGAGGGATCGGAAGGAAAGAAGTTGATGGACAGTGCTGGGATGGGCAGACGCACCCACCCCTACCGCCTCACTTGTCGTGCTGTGCTTTCGAGCTATCGCCTCGTGCTGCAAATCATCCTCAAAGGTTGCCTGGGGGAGTAGGAGGTGGGGGAGTAGGGGGGAGGGGTATGGGGATGGGACAGCGAGAAGGTGCGGACGGTTGTTGTGGTAATGGGATGGAGTTGGGCATTGCCCACCTCTTCAAGCGCTGTGCTGTGCATTTACGGTATGGCTTCGTGTTGCGACTCAACCCAACCCACCTCCACGGCACTGAACGAGGCATTCAACACCTCCCCAGATAACACCTCCCCAGGATAACACCTCCTCCAGAACACCCTACTCAAATAACGCCTCCTGCAGCAGATAATTGACCACTTACCTCATGAATCAGCACCGTGATGCCTCGACTCGCCGCCCTCACAGTATCACACGGCCGAGTATCACCCGAGTACACCAGCTTCCAGGAATCTTCCTCCCCACTTCCCCCCTCTCGCCCCCTCACCCTTCCCTCCAGCACCACGGCAAACGCCTGCGGGCAATGCACCACAGGCACACTCTCCAGCCGGGTCAGCCCCAGCGCAGATAACACCTCCCTCAGATAAGACCTCCCCCAGATAATTGCTAGCAACTCACCTCATGAATCAGCACCGTGGCTCCTCGACTCGCCGCCCTCACAGTATCACACGGCCGAGTGTCACCCGAATACACCAACTTCCAGGAATCTTCCTTTTCTCCTCCTCCCTCTCTCCTCCTCTCTCGCCCCTTCTTTCGCCCCCTCACCCGCCCCTTCTCTCCCCCTCTCACCATTCCCTCCAGCACCACGGCAAACGCCTGGGGGCAATGCACCACAGGCACGCTCTCCAGCCGGGTCAGCCCCAGCGCAGATAACACCTCCCCCAGCTGCCGCCTGCCCGGCTCGTCCAAACCCCCGTCCTCCAGGTGAAACCCTGTCTTGAGCCAGAAGGGGCGCAGGCCCTTCCTCTCCCCTCCTGAATCAGGCCTCTGCTGGTAACCCCCTGCTTGCTGCTGCTGCTGCTGCTGCCGCTGCTGCTGGTGTTTCGACTGGCTTTCTTTTTGCCAGATAAGGCCACACTGCTCCCTCCCGTCTCCTTCCTCCATCCCTCCATCCAACCCCCTAGCAGCAGTAGCAACACTACGTGCTGCTTCTCCTGCTCCTCCTGTTTCTTTCCTTTCTCCCCTTGCTCCTTCTCCTACTGCTACTGCTGTTCCTGCTTTAGCAGCAAGAGCCGCGGCATCCTTCGTCGTTTGGCTACAGTCCAAAAACGTCAAGTGGAGGCTCTCGAACGTCTGATACGCCTCCAGATACCGCCGAAGCTGCTTTGGCCCGACGACCAGAATGGGCGGCACTGGCACTGTAGCATTCTTGTCCTGTTCATCTGTCTCCATCTTCTCAAACGTTTTCTGAGAACCTGCCCCGGGGACTGCCCGTTCAGCTGCCCGCTGAGCTGCCCGGCGCAAAAGAATGTCTCTCCGGGCAGCGAGAATTCTGACGAGCCCCGTGTGATGGTCGGCGTGAATGTGGGAGATCCAAATACACTTCAGACCCGCTATAATATCCTCTGCCTTTTCTGGCCCGAACCTGTAAGAATCAACAAAGCAGTGGGGGGTTCGGAGAATGGTGAGTTCAAAATATTATGTTATGGTAACAAAAAGTATGCTTTCTTGGTCTATTTAGCATGGCTTCCCTGTGAAGGATCTAAATATACCCCCTAGATCAAACCAGTGCAGGTACATGTCTTGCCTGAGCTCACATGCAAGAATGACCAGCAGACCCCACACTCCAGAATCATGGCCCCCCAGATCAAACCAGGGCAGGTACATGCCTTGCCTAAGCCCATACGTATTGGGCTGCGCGTAGCTGCCCTCCCCGCAGTCCAGAAACATGCCTCCCCGGTCGAATCAGTGCACGTAGATGCCTTGCCTAGGCCCACACATGCAAGGAAGATTCGACCAAACCCCACACACCGACTCACCGTCTGGTAAGCTGGGCGTAGCTCCCTTCTCCACAATCCAATATCATCCCGCTCTGGTCGAATCTGTGAGCGTAGATGCCATGCCGCTGTGATTGCGGTACTTGGACGGCTGGGAGTTTTCCTGAGCCCACATGATTTCCTCCCATTTCCCCACACATCAAACCATCCCTCTCCCCATTCACTCACCGTCTGGTGAGCTGTGCGTAGCTCCCTTCCCCACAGTCCAGAATCATGCCGCCCCGGTCGAACAGGTAAACGTAGATGCCGCTCAGATTGCGGTACTTGGACGGCTGGGATGAGCCGACATGCAAGGATGAGCTAATCAACCCCACCCACCCACTCACGTACCGTCTGGTGAGCTGTGCGTAGCTCCCTTCACCACAGTCCAATATCATGCCTCCCCGGTCGAACAGGTGAACGTAGATGCCGCTGGGATTGCGGTACTTGGACGGCTGGGATCACTCCGTGCCTTTTTTCTTGAAGAAGTCCCCCCCATTTCCCACACAATTCCACCCACCCACTCACCGTCTGGTGAGTTGGGCATAGCTGCCCTCGCCGCAGTCCAGAATCATCCCTCCCCGATCAAACAGGTGAACGTAGATGCCGCTGAGATTGCGGTATTTGGACGGCTGGGAGCATGCACTCCCTCGTCCCACTTTTGAGGCGCCTCAAAAGTCGGCTGGGAGCATGTAAATCCCTCGTCTCACCCCCCACTCACCGTCTGGTGAGCTGTGCATAACTGCCCTCGCAACAGTCCAGAATCATCCCGGCTCGATCAAACAGGTGCACGTAGATGCCGCTCAGATTGCGGTACTTGGACGGCTGGGATGAGCCCACATGCAAGGATGAGCTAATAAAACACCCACCTTCTGGTGAGCTGCGCGTAGCTGCCCTCGCCACAGTCCAGGATCATGCCGCCCCGATCAAACAGGTGCACGTAGATCCCTCGTCCCCCCCACACGTACCGTCTGGTGAGCTGCGCGTAGCTGCCCTCGCCACAATCCAATATCATGCCGCCTCGGTCGAACAGGTGAACGTAGATGCCGCTGAGATTGCGGTACTTGGACGGCTGGGATGAGCCCGTGCCGAGAAACACCACCTCCAAATACAAGGACGAACCATCCACCACCCCACACACTGACTCACCGTCTGGTGAGCTGGGCGTAGCTCCCTTCCCCACAATCCAATATCATCCCGCCCCGGTCAAATCTGTGCACGTAGATGCCGCTGAGATTGCGGTACTTGGATGGCTGGGTGCACGTAGATACCTCGTCCCACCCACACGTACCGTCTGGTGAGTTGAGCGTAGCTGCCCTCGCCACAGTCCAGAATCATGCCTCCGAGATCAAACAGGTGCACGTAGATGCCGCTCAGATTGCGGTATTTGGACGGCTGGGATGAGCCCGTGCCGAGAAACACCACCTCCACCTGCAAGGACGACTCAAGCACCCCACCCACTGACTCACCGTCTGGTCAGCTGGGCGTAGCTCCCCTCGCCACAGCCCAGAATCATCCCTCAACGATGGTCTAACCCCCACTCAAGCACCCCACCCACCCACCGACTCACCGTCTGGTGAGCTGCGCGTAGCTGCCCTCGCCACAATCCAATATCATGCCGCCCCGGTCAAACAGGTGAACGTAGATGCCGCTGAGATTGCGGTACTTGGACGGCTGGGATGAGCCCGTCCCAAGAAACACCACCCCCACATACAAGGATGGTTCAAACACCCCACACACCGACTCACCGTCTGGTCAGCTGTGCATAACTCCCCTCGCCACAATCCAGAATCATGCCGCCTCGATCGAACAGGTGAACGTAGATGCCGCTCAGATTGCGGTACTTGGACGGCTGGGATGACCCCGTGCCGAGAAACACCACCTCCACCTCCTCCCTGCCCATTCCTTGTAGGCACGCCGGTGCATTGTCCTCCTTATCAACACCCAGCTGCTGCACATCCTTCTCACTCCTCCCTCCCTTGCCACTTCCTCTCCCTCCTCCCCTTTCCCCTTCCTCTCCCATCCTCTCTCCCTCGACCTCTCCCATTTTCTCCCCCTCGTTCTCCTTGCTACTCAAACCCCAGTCCGCAGCCACCTTCCTGGAAGCTTCCTCGAGCTCCGGAATGTTGTGCAGCAGGTGGTGAACAGTGCTCCTCGCGTTGAAAGCGGGCGGCACTGCTGACGTGTCAACCCCTAGAACGGGGGCACCTCGCAGGTTGACCTGTGGGGAAATTGGGGGGTGAGGAGAGGAGGGAGGGGGAAAGAATGGGGAAAAGGTTTGGTTGCTCACTTGCTCGACTGCTCCTGGTGTTGAAAGCGGGCGGCACTGCTGACGTGTCAACCCCTAGAAAGGGATACGGCACCTCTTAGGTTGACCTGTGGGGGTGAGAGTTGGAAGTGGGGGGGAGGAGGAAAGGAGGTGAGGGAGGAGAAGGGGGAGTATGGGAGGGTGGCACTGCTAACGTGTCAACTCCAAAAAATAGGGCATATCTCAGGTTGACCTGTGGGATGGGTGGTGGGTGGGTGGGAGTGAGGAGAGGAGAGTAGGGGTTAGACGGAAGGCAAGGGGAAAGAGATTAGATCCGTTCAGTTGCTCCCCATCTCTTCAGCCAAGGGTTTAAGGGGTCTAACTGAATCGGGAAGAGGGAGGATCAGATAAGGGAAACCGGAGGCACTGCCGATGTGAAAACTCTCACAAGAGCCAAAAAAAAAAAAAGTAGAATAAAAAAGTGAAAAAAAGAATAAGAAAAACAAAAAGAATAAGAAGGGGTACAGCAAACTCACATACTGCCTACATTGACAGGAGGAACAGGAGGAAGCATTGGGGAAGGCACTGACCTTGAGAAGGTTCTTGGCAATAACAATGGGACCGAGCGGGAGCCCCTCCACGGGCTGTGGAGCGGATGTTACAGGGTTCAGGGCGGTGGGACGGAAGAGGGTAAAAAAATGAGAGGTGAATCTAAGGAAGCAAAAGGGCAATAACAATGGGGCCGAGGGGGAGCCCACCAACGGGCTGAGGAGGTAAGGGTGGAGAAAGGAAAAGGAGAAAGAGGGTGAACAAGAGGAGGTGAATTCGAGCGAGCAAAAGAGCAATGAGTCAGGGCGGTGGGACGGAAGGGGGTGCAAAAAAGGAGAGGTGAATCTAAGCAAGCAAAAGGGCAATGGGGCCGAGGGGGGGGGGCATCCACAGGGCTGAGGAGGTAAGGGTGGAGAAAGGAAAAGGAGAAGGAGGGTGAACAAGGGAGGTGAACTCAAGCGAGCAAAAGAGCAATGACAACGGGCCGAGCGGGGGCCCATCCACGGACTGCGGATGTTGCAGGGTTCAGAGCGGTGGGACGGAAGAAGGTAAAACAAAAGAGAGTGAAGTTAAACGAGCCAAAGAGCAAAGACAATCGGGCCCAGCAGGAGCCCATCCCATCCACGGGCTGTGGATGTTGGAGGGTTCAGTCAGGGCGGTGGGACGGAAGGGGGTGCAAAAAAGAGAGGTGAAACTAAACAAGCAAGCCAAAGAACAATGACGATCGGGCCCAGCGGGAGCCCATCCACGGGCTGTGGAGGTCCCATGGCGGACAGGGGGGTGGCGGGAAAGAGGTACGAAGCAGAGAGGTGGATTGGATTGGAAGGGGTAAGTGAGAGGAGGGGAATGAAGATCGGGCCGAGAGGAAACCTATTCACAGACAGAGGAGGTCCCATGGCGGAAAGGGGGACTAAATCAAAGCACTCACTTCCAACTGTTTTTGAGTCGACTCAAAAATAAGATCGGGCCGAGAGGAAACCTATTCACAGAGGAGGTCCCATAACAAAAAGGGGGACTAAATCAAAGCACTCACCTCCAACTCATACGTCTGTGCTGCTGCTGCTTCAGCAGCTTCCCCTGCCCTCCTTGCCAGTGTGTGGTCATATGGTTCGGGAAAAAGGTGTGTTTACATGTGTAGACGTCTCAGAGCCCACTCACCTTCAGCTCATAGGTCTGTGCTGCTGCTGCTGCTGCGGCTGCTGCAGCTTCCCCTGCCCTCCTTGCCAGTGTATGGTCATATGGTTCGGGAAAGAGGTGCGGACACACGTAGTGGAGTTTGGTTGTCAGTGCTGCACTGCCCGCTAGCACAGGCGGGCACTCGAAGGCCCTGGCGGGGGGGGGGAGGATGGTCGTGGGTGGGGTGCGGAGAGGGGAGTGAAGGGGAGTTGTCTTAGTGAGTCAATTAGAGCGTGGTTGTGCAGTGCAGGGAAGAGGTGCGGGCACACGTAGTGCAGCTTTGTTGTCAGGGCCGCACTGCCCACTAGCACAGGTGGGCACTCAAAGGCCCTGTTGGCCGGAGAGAGTTGGGAGATGGGAAGGAGAAAGGAGAAGCGGGTATGGGTGTTGAGAAGAGAGAGGTGCGGACGCACATAGTGGAGCTTGGTTGTCAGGGCCGCACTTCCTGCTCGCACAGGCGGGCACTCGAAGGCTCTGGATACGAAATGGGGGCGAGAGGAGAGGTGGGGGGACAGAAAGGCAGTGTGTGGTGGGAGGGGTAAGGAAAGGAGGGAAGAGGTGGGACACACGTAGTGCAGCTTTGTAGTCAGGGCCGCACTTCCTGCTCGCACAGGCGGGCACTCAAAGTGGGGCTTTGTAGTTAGCGCTGCACTGCCCGCAAGCACAGTGGGACACTCGAACGTCGTGACTGCACGCGCACATACCATTTTTCTACCTGACTGCCAATGCTGATTACCTGCCATGCCCTGCCAGCACGTGCCATGTGCTAAACCCTGGGGGTTGGGTCCCAGCATGCCCATCCACCGCCGATACTGCTCCTCCTCCTCCACCACAGCTTCTGGGCTCACATGCACTGCCAGCTGAGCAGCAAACGCGCACACCACACCTCCCCTTACCTGGCAATGCCCTGCACATGCCATCACTTTGATGTGCTCACCTGCCTTGCCCTGCCAGCACGTGCGTGGTGTTGGGTCCCAGCATGCCCATCCACCGCCGATACTGCTGCTAATGCACATGTTACATTGGTTACCTGATGTATCCCTACCTGCCGTGCCTAGCTAAGACGTGTGTAGTGTTGGGTCCCAGCTTGCCCATCCACCGCCGATACTGCTCCTCCTCCACCACCTCCTCGCAATCAACCTCAACCCTCCCACTCAGCCTACCCCTACCACCTGTGCGCACATGTTACGTGCTCACCTGCCATGACCAGCTAAGACGTGCGTGGTGTTGGGTCCAAGCATGCCCATTCACCTCCGATACTGCTCCTTCACCCCCTCTGGATGCACATGACTGCCACTGTCAGCACCACCACCCCATACCTCCATGTCCCTGCCGCAACCTTACCCCCCATATGCTTACCTGCCATGCCCTGCTAAGACGTGCGTGGTGTTGGGTCCCAGCTTGCCCATCCATCTCCGATACTGCTCCTCCTCCACCACCCCCTCTGGACTCACATGCACTGCCAGCTGAGCAACACACGCGCACACCATACCACCACATGCAAGCCAAGTGCTTACCTGCCATGACCAGCTAAGACGTGGGTGATGTTGGGACCAAGCTTGCCCATCCACCGCCGGTACTGCTCCTCCTCCACCACAGCTTCAGGACTCACATGCACTGCCACTGTCACCTCCTTATAGTCACTCCCGTTACTGTCACTCTTCTCGTTATTGTCACTCTTGGATTTCTGGCGGTGGCTGATGCAGAATCGCTGCAGCTGAGGCGACTGCAGGAGGGCTTGCGTGTGGCTTGCAGTGGGGCAGTCTATAAGGAGGACAACGGGGCCTGGGATGGATGCTTCGAGAACGTCAGAAGGGTGAACCTGCGGGGAGGGGAGAGATGGGAGAGGAGAAAGAGCAGAGAGAGTACTTAGCCTGACTATAAAGAGGACAACGGGGCCTGGGGTCGATGCTTCGAGCACGTCAGATGGGTGAACCTGAGGGGTGGGCAATGAAGGGAAGAAGGCCAAGCAGATTGCAATCTTAGGCTCTGGAGTGGTGAAGGGGCGACTCAAAAGGTGACTTTTGAGTCGACTCAAAAGTCACCTCGTTACTATGGCACACGACATTTTTCGCGTCGACTCAGCAGATTGCAAACTTAGGTTTCGGAGTGGTGAAGGGGCGACTCAGAAGTCAGATTGCAAGGCGAGTGTCACCACCCACCCAGCAAGCGGATGAAGTCGGTTCGGATTCCGAGGTGACTTTTGCGCCGACTCAATAGTCAATCCGAAATCAATCCCTTTGAGTCGACTCAATAGTCAATCCGAAATCAATCCCTTTGAGTCGACTCAAAAGTCAATCCGAAATCAATCCCTTTGAGTCGACTCAAAAGTCAATCCGAAATCAATCCCTTTGAGTCGACTCATAAGTCAATCCGAAATCAATCCCTTTGAGTCGACTCAAAAGTCAGATTGCAAGGCGAGTTTCACTACCCAGCAAGGGGGTGGAGTCGGTTCAGATTCCATTTTTGAGTCGACAATTTTTGAGTCGACTATTTTTGAGTCGACTATTGAGTCGACTATTTTTGAGTCGACAATTTTTGAGTCGACTATTGAGCCGACTATTTTTGAGTCGACTATTGAGTCGACTATTTTTGAGTCGACTATTGAGTCGACTATTTTTGAGTCGACTATTTTTGAGTCGACTATTTTCGGACTCAATGAAGGGAAGAGAGAGAAGAAGATTGCAAGGCGAGTTTCACCACCCAGCAACAGGATGGAGTCGGGGCGGATTCCCTGCAATGCACACATGCACTCACCGTCCTGCTCCCATCGTCTGAGGGCACGCTCTCCCCCATCTGCAGGCGCCGGTACTTGGGGCCCGGGCGGATGCCCATGGCTGCTGCGCGCTTTGGGTCAAACTTCCCTGCTGCTGTCGGCAACTCACACACATACACCACCGATGCCATCCCCGCTGCTCCCACTCCTGGCCCCATCCCTGCTGTATTCCCCTCCAACCCCCTCGCCGCTTCCTCCCTTCTCTCTCCCTCCACCCTCGGCCTCTTCTCGCTTCCACCCCCAGTGGTTTCCCATCCGCTGCTGATGTCAGCAGTGCCGGAAGGACTGGGGCGCTTCGCTGACGTGGCGGAGGGGAGGGCCGCTTTGGAACTGACACCTGTCGCCCCCTCTCCTGCCAATCCGCCTTCCTTCTGTTGCGCCAGGGTCAACTCCTTGAAGGACGCGGATGGCGAAGGGAGAACAGCAGAGCTGCTATCCGCGTCCTTCAAGCAGAGATTCCTTGAAGTGTTGAGAGAAACGGCTAGTGCTGTGTTTTCTTCTGCTGCCGATGATGCTGCTGCTGTGAATTCTAGCAACGACGGTTCGAGCAGCACAGCCGTGATCTTCACATCCCCATCATCATGCACAATGTACGCGCTCTTGTCCTCCTGCTGTTCCAACTGCCACTGCTCCTGCATAGTAACTGCTTCCCTTCCCTGCTCCTGCCCTGAACCCAGCACCTTCTGCTGCCCCTGCTGCTGCTGCTGCGGCTGCTGTGGTGCATTGTAGAAAGCAGGGAGTGGGGCGTGGGGGTATGACTGACGCCCAGGGCTGCTGCTGCCGAAGCTGGAGGTTCGGACCGAGGCTGCGCCCACGAAGCAGCGCATGGCTGCTGCGAGCCGATGCAGATCCGACGGCCCACAGATGTCCACCTGGCAGATCGGGGCACGAGGGGATTTGAGGGGGAAAAGTGCGAAGGGAGAAGTGTGCGTTGGGGGGGGGGGGCGGAAGTAGAGGATGAAGGGAGATCCGACGGCCCACAAAAGTCCACCTGGCAAAATTTGGAACGAAGGGATTCAAAGGGGAGAAGTGAGATGCGCGGGAGGGGGGGGGGAGTAGAGGATGGAGGGAGATCCGACGGCCCACAGATGTCCACCTGGCAAGGAAAAAGGTGAGGCACGATAGGGAAAATGGAGGGTGAACGGGGGGAGGCTGGGGGTTAATAATGGATGCAATGCAATGCACAGCTGCTGCGAGCCGATGGAGATCCGACGGCCCACAGATGTCCACCTGGCAGAGAGGGGGAAGAGCAGGTTGCGGGATGGGGGAGAGGAGGGAGGAGGAGACGGGGAGAGGAGACGGGGAGAGGAGACGGGGAGAGGAGACGGGGAGAGGAGACGAGGAGAGGAGACGGGGAGAGGAGACGGGGAGAGGAGACGGGGAGAGGGGGGAGGGGTGAGGGGAGGGGAGAGCGGAATGACGGCCGTAGGGTTGAGCAGGAAACTGAGGTCTTGTAGACGACCCAAGGTGACTTTTGAGTCGACTCAAAAGTCACTGAGGTCTTGTAGGTGACTCAGGACGCGGACTTTCAGCGAATTCTTGTAGCGAGACGTGGTAATCCCCGCGTGCCCATTTAAAGAGGGTGTACAAGTGAGAGCTGCAAGCACAGTTGCACCCTAAGCCCTTGCCCAGACACCGTTCTCCCAACCCAACACCCTGATTCTCAAACCCGCACTCACAGTAATGCCTGTTTCCCCCGTGTTGGCGAGCGTCAGCAGCATGCCTGGCAGGCCTCCTGCCGTTCCCATCCATTCAAAAGAAAGGGTGCTTCAAAGCCAAAACACACCAGGGTCCATAAATTCTCACTCACAGTGACGCCTGTTTCCCCCGTGTTGGCGAGCGTCAGCAGCATGCCTGGCAACCCCCCGGCTGTCTCCGTGCACACGCGGGAGAGAAATATCTTGTCCACCTGATGCAAATGGGAGGGGGAGGGGGAAGGTGGAGGAGGGGAAAGGCGAGAGAGGAGGGGTACAAAGGCAGATTCGTCAGCAGCATGCCTGGCAGCCCGCCAGCTGTCTCGGTGCACACGCGGGAGAGGAATATCTTGTTCACCTGATGCAAATGGGAGGGGGAGGGGGGAGGCAGGGAGGGGGAAGGAGGAAGGGGGATGAGGAGTGGGAAAGACTTGTCAGCGGCATGCCTGTCAGTCCGCCTGCTGTTTCGGTGCACACGCGGGAGAGGAAGATCTTATCCACCTGATGCAAATGGGAGGGGAAGGGGGGACGCGGAGAGAGAGGGGGGGAAAGGAGGAAGGGGAATCTTCAGCAGCATGCCAGGCAGCTCGCCAGCTGTTTCCGTGCACATGCGGGAGAGGAATATCTTGTCCACCTGATTGGGTGTGTGGAGGGGGGAGAAATAGGAGAGAGGAATGGGGAGTGGGAAGCATGTGGGGGGAGGGGTGGAGAGAGAAGGGGTAAGGTGGAGGCACTCCCTCACTCACCGACCTGACCTTAAACCCTCAAACCCTTGCCCACCTTAGACAGCCTGATTCTGTGTTCGATGCAGAGGCGCTGCAGCCCCTCGCCCGCGTTGAACACCAGGCGCAGCCCCCAACCCTTAACCCCGCCACTCATATCCTAATACCCTAAACCCCAGCCCACCTTTGACAGCCGGATGCGGTGCTCTATGCAAAGGCGCTGCAGCCCCTCGCCCGCGTTGAACACCAGGCGCAGCCCCCAACCCTTAACCCCGCCACTCATATCCTAATACCCTAAACCCCAGCCCACCTTTGACAGCCGGATGCGGTGCTCTATGCAAAGGCGCTGCAGCCCCTCGCCCGCGTTGAACACCAGACGCACCTTTAAGCCAATCCCACCAGGCGCAGCCCCCAACCTTTAAGCCAATCCCACCAGGCGCAGCCCCCAACCCTTACTCCCCCACCTCCTAAAACCCCGAACCCCTGACGCACCTTAGAGAGGCGAATTCGGTGTTCAATGCAGAGGCGCTGCAGCCCCTCGCCTGCGTTGAGCACCAGGCGCAGCCTCGACGAACAGCAGCACGCAGGGGGAGGTATCCCCCGTGTCCATACCCTCCCTTAACCCCCTTAAACCCTAAACCCCGGGCATGACGCACCTTTGACAGCCTAATCCGGTGCTCTATGCAGAGGCACTGCAGGCCCTCGCCCGCGTTGAACACCAGGCGCAGCCGCTCGAAGAACAGCAGCACGCAGGGGGACGTGTCCCCTTGTGTCCATACCCGTCTCCTACCCCCCTTAAACCCCAAACCCTGTACCATGACGCACCTTAGAGAGGCGAATGCGGTGCTCTATGCAGAGGCGCTGTAACCCCTCGCCCGCGTGGAACACCAGGCGCAGCCGTTCGAAGAACAGCAGCACGCAGGGGGAGGTATCCCCCGTGTCCATACCCGTCTCCTAACCCCCTTAAACCCAAAACCCGCGTCATGACCCACCTTGGAGAGCCTGATGCGGTGCTCTATGCAGAGGCGCTGCAGCCCCTCGCCCGCGTTGAACACCAGGCGAAGCCGCTCGAAGAACAGCAGCACGCAGGGAGAGGTATCCCCCGTGTCCATACCCGTCCCCAGACCCTTAAACCCTAAACCCCTGGGCATGGCGCACCTTTGACAGCCTGATTCGGTGCTCTATGCAGAGGCGCTGTAGCCCCTCGCCCGCGTTGAACACCAGGCGCAGCCGCTCGAAGAACAGCAGCACGCAGGGAGAGGTGTCCCCCGTGTCCGTTCCCGTCCCCAGCACCTGCAGATAAGCCGTCCTGTTCTGCGCCAGCTTCTCTCCCCCTGCCCCCCCTACCGCTCCGCCTTCCCCTCCGCCTCCCCTTCCGCCCTTTCCTCCGCCTTTCTCTCCCCCGCCTCCGCCTCCGCCTCCGCCCCGTTCCTTCCCCTTTCCGCCCTTCCCCCTGGCCTGGGGACCCGCATCCGCTGCTCTCTCCGTTCTTCCCCCTGCTGCCGCCACGTCAGCACCTTGCCTCCCCCTGTTTCCCCCGCCCGCCGCGGCGACTCTCATCCCGCCCGCCGAACCTCCTTCCGCGCGCTCCCGCCGCGTTCCCTCCGTACTATAGCTAACTCGATTAGAATACGCAGATCTGAACGCCTGAGACTCTACGGTCAGGGAGTGCCCTGCTACAGCCGGGGAGAGCCCTGCTACAGCCTGTGTGCTAAGCCCGCGAGACAGCAAAAGCTCGTCCGCGCTCCACCTACCCTTACCTGCCTTCTTCGGCGCGCCTTCAGCGTCTGCTACAGCTTTTCCCTCGATCACAGCAGCTTCTGGTTTATTCCCCCTCTCCAAGTTCTTCCGCGCGCCTTCAGCGTCTGCTACAGCTTTCCCCTCGATCACAGCAGATTCTCCTTCGCCCGCGTTTCCTTCCGCCAAAACCTTGGGAATGGACGGCGGTTTCTCCGCTTCCGCCGCTCCCCCTTCCGCCTGCTTCCGCGGTCGGCCGCGCGTTCTCTTTCCGCTCCCGCCGGCTGCAGCCTTTCCCGCTCCCGAATCCTCGCTACTAACAGTTTCGTTACTGGTCACTCGGCGACCTCGCCTGCCGCTTACGCGCGTGGCACTCTCCTGGCCTACGGAAGATTCCGACGCATTCACCAGATCGCTGCCACGTGCGATCGCTGAATCACTGCCACGTGGAACTGCCGCGTCATCCGCAGCTCCGTCAGCTCCGCCGGCCGATTTCGATGTCCGCGCGCGCCGCTTCCTAACTGTAGTCCCTTTCGATACAGCGGGTTCTGATACAGAGAGATCTACAAAAGATCCTACGGTAGTTGGTTGCTCGAAGCTGTCTCCAAAATCCGGAGTTAATTTCGAAATCACCCGACCCGATCTTGCAGGAATCGGAGCGCGAGGCGGTTGGCTATGCCGCAGCGACGGGAAAAGTAACGTTCTTCGAGGAACGACTAGCGCCGCGAGGGAACGCGATCCGGCGCCGAAAAGGCCCGACCGAGCCGGTGCGCGGAAGTCAAGCGGCAACGATCTTGTAACTAATCCGTTCGATAACTCGCTCAATGTCGACCTGTCGACTAATCCGTTGGAAATAACGTTAGACGAACGGGTGATTACTTTATGCGTGCGCCACATTCGCTGGCGGAGGGCAGGGTGCACGCAGAGGTGCGACTGAACGCGAGTTGCGGCGGTTACAGCGGAGAGCGCGAGAGTCATGTCCGTGGCGCGGCCTCTTCTAGGTCAGGGAACGGCCTGATCGTGCCAGCTCAGCAAGTGATTGTGCGCACCCTCACGCATCTCGATTCTTGAACTAGCAGAAGTATCAAGACCATGGTTGACTGGGGGTTTACGCCTTGAACTAGGGTTTATGGGGTTGCTTGCTTGGGTTGGGTCATGTGGGGGGCATGTGGGGTTGCAAGTGACGCACATGCAGCCTGATTCGCTGTAGGTTAGGGCGTATAACATTTCAGCTTATTCCAACTTCGTTATGAGTTTCCAATTTCAAATATCGAAGTTAGATTATACCCACCCCATGTACGCAAGGGATATCCCCTCTCCACTGAACAAGTTATATCATATACATTGAGAAAGCTTGCTTCTGTAGCAATTGGCATCGTTCTCATTACAATGGGTTCAAGTACAACAGTTCCTAGCAGTTATACTAATATACTATCACATCCAAAATGTCTAAGAACTACTACTCTCATAAGTTGACTAGCCTGGGGAGGGTGGGTGGGAATTGAACTTGAGCGATTGTAAAATGAGAGACGTGGGTGGGGGAAGAATGACCCCAGCCCACATTATATATTCGGAGAAGGCGAATACCGCGCTTCGACGATGCACAAAATTGCGTTACAGTCAGCTTCGCTTTCACAATACGCAAATTTGAAAGCGATAAAACGCTTAAAAAATTTTTATATTGAGAAAGCTTGCTTCTGTAGCAATTGGCATCGTTCTCATTACAATGGGTGACGCTGAGACATGTGCAAGGGTGCCTGACGGTGGCGCTTGAGGGCTCTGGAATGTTGTGCTGGTGATGGCGCGTGAGCCGTTGATTGGAGGTTGCGAGAGGCATCAATCAAACGATCGGCAGTGGGGGTCCTTCGCCATTTCACTGCGCCATCGGCCTAGTTGTTTGAAGAGCCGATCCTCAATTCCTGCGTTTGCCGCTACAGTTGCCGCTCCTTTGCGAAAAGAGTGTGTGCCGAGCGCGTGGTCGCCGAGTCCGATGGCATGAAAAGCTTCCTTGCACCAGTTGCGTATTGTGGTATACGATGGTGGTTTGACTGGGAGTGAGTTGCTCGTGGCCGAACCAAACACCCGGATTAATGGTCGTGGAGTGGCAGGACCATATCCTGCTAGCTGGATGAAGCGCTTCGTGCATCGGACGGGGCAGAAAGGTCCCTGGCTTGCGGCAATGGGCACCCATGAGCCCTTCCCTTCTTGGTCGGTCTTCGAGCGCGGGATGAGTAACCACATGGCATCGTTTTCGAACTGAATATCGTTCCAGCAGATGGCGGCGAGATCCGAATACCGAAGGAAGCCGGCGTACATGAGAAGTGGTATGAGTCCTTTTTGAAAGGTAGATGGGTCGCCCGAGCTAATGAAGTGTGCGGCCATGGAGTGCACTTGGTGAAGAGACACCGGTTCTTTGGTCCGGTGGGGTCGCGGGCAGTGGCGCTTGGCAAATTCTCGGACTTGAGATGTCATGGGGCCGATGGTAGGGCAGGCGGCCCCAATCATGCGGTGGGCAAAACCAACCGCCGAGCAAGTGAGTTGCACCACCGAGAATGTGGCCTGGTGGCAAATGGCGTAGACGAGGTACAGCGCGAGTGTCATATCTCGTGCGGGCAGGTACTGTAGTTTAGTCTTGATGCAGAATGAGCGGAACTGCTGCCAGTATGGTTCGTAAGTCTTGATCGTAGATTCCGCACGCGTTTGCAGCATCATTGTGAGCAATTGGCTCTGCAGCGAGCGGAGTAATCCTGAAGCGATTAGAGAGGACGCAAGCAAAATTGTTAACGGAAGGAGATCCGCAAGGCCATCTGTCAGAATAACTAGGCAAGAATGATGCATTGAATGAAACAGTTGGGTACAAGTAGCAAACCCTAGTTGGGGTTGTACCCCATATTGGCTACCCCACTACAGCCTACCAACATATAACACAATACAATTTGACACACCCCCATAGGCAAAGTGGGGGAGAACAAAGGGTCACAAGACCAGTCTAGCAAAGCAACGCAAGCCCAGGGTGGATCACAAAGTCACCACACTCCGAGCACAAGCAAAGGCCACAAGGCCAGTTCACATGCAGTGCTAGATATAGTACAAGACAAGCAACACAGTGATCAAAACCTAGCAAGCAAGCAACAAGATATATATAAAGTACAGTACAAAGAATGTCAAGCAGTGAGCAAGTGAGGAAACGTGGACACAAGGCCTAAAGAAGTACAGTGTCGCTGATGATCACTAGGCGGGAGCGCCTTGGTGAAGATATCAGCAGTATTGGCCTTCGAGTCCACGTACACAAGCCGAAGCTGACCGCGCTGCTGAAGCTCTCGAGCAAGAAAGTAGCGAAGAGCAATGTGCTTCGTCCTGTGCTCCAGTCTGTGCTCCTCACACAAGGCAAGGGCCGCCTTGTTGTCACCGTACAGAACTGGAGGAGAACTAGGCCGCTCTCCCAAGTCAGTCAGCAGGTAGGTGAGCCAGCGTAACTCCTGTGCAGCCATGGCTGTCGCGTAGATCTCAGCCTCACAACTAGAGCCGAGAACAGAGGAAGAGCGGGTGGACCGCCACGAGACAGAACCAGAGCCAAGGCTGAAGGTGTAACCCTGTGACGACCGCTGCGTAGCCAGGTCGTCCACCCAAGAAGCGTCCGAGTGACCAGTGAGGACAACTCTGTCGTGTCCTCCAAGCACCAGCCCCATGCCTGATGTACTGCACAAGTAACGCAGTACCCTCTTAGCAGCCTCCCAGTGCTCTCGCCTGTGTCTCCCAGGTGCAACGTAACGAGCAAGGATGCTAAGAGGGTACGCGAGGTCAGGTCGCGTGCAAGTCATCAGGTACATGAGGCAGCCTACAAGCTCTGGGTACGGGCCACTCGGCTCTACGGACTCGTCCGAAGGTGGAGCTGAGAGCGAGTGGCTGGTAGCCAGAGGTGTGGCCTGTGGTGAGGAGAACTGGAAGCCGAAGCGCTGAAGGACCTGCTGCACCATGTGTGACTGAGTCAGGGTGATGGTGCGGCGAGCTCTGTCCCGGGTGATCTGCAAGCCAAGGTAGCTACGCAGTTCACCCAGGTCAGTGCAGGTGTGTCTCTTCTGCAGCTCCGACTTCACACGAGCGAGTGCCTCAGTGTCAGCAGTAGCAAAGACCAAGTCGTCGACGTACACGAGAATGTAGAACGGCGGCAGCGACGTGTCTGTGCGCAGAAACAGCGACGGGTCAGCAGTAGACGGCGCGAACCCAAGAGCCGCAAGTGTAGTCCTCAGTGTGTCGTGTCACTCACGTGGCGCCTGGCGGAGACCGTAGACTGGCCGGCGGAGGCTCCACTGGGTACCAGGAGGAAACGACCCAGTAAAGCCAGGTGGGCGGCGCAGCCAGATCTCCTCGTGCAGGCTGCCCTGCAGGAACGCTGTGCTGAAGTCAAGAGAGTGAAGCTCGTAGTCACGCTGAGCAGCAACGTGTAGCAGAACCCGAAGAGTGGTCATCTTCGGGGTGGGGGAGAAGGTCTGGAAGAAGTCAACCCCCTGACGCTGACTGAAACCTCTAGCAACGTAACGAGCCTTGAAGATAGGCGGAGAACCTGGCGGCCGCTTCACCCTGAAAATCCACATGCCATCGACGATGTTCGCCCCAGGAGGGGGAACCTCGTCGACGTAGGTGCCTGTGGACTTCCAGGATGCCATCTCTGCGTCCATGGCTGTCTGCCACTGAGAGGAGTAGGGACCCGAGATCGCCTCTGCGTAAGTGCGCGGAGTGGGGATGTCTAGTGCATCCGGGTCTCCCTCAGGGGCAAGCAACCAGGCCACGAGATGAGGTACAGCAGCCGCGAGAGAGTCAAAGTCCTCCTGCCTGTCCTCAAGGACGTCCGTGCCAAGAGCACACTCACCCCCGACGGACGGAGGACAGACAGACGCAGACGCAGACTCAGCAACAAGGCGAGCAGCGTAGTCTAGACGACAGGCAGCAGCAAAGTCAACCAACTCAGCGACTAGAGCAGACGCAGCTGAGGACTCAAAGGTAGGGTCAGTGACAACAGTAGCTAGGAGACGCGTGACAGTAGGTGCTCAGCACGATACCGGTCAGACTCAGGGTCCGGAACGTCAGGCAAAGAGGACGCAGGAGGAGACGGTAGAGGGACACGCTGAGGAGCAGTAGAGGGACGCAGAGTCATGTAGTGAGTGCCTGGGACAGGAGGAGGACGCTCACGACGGACACGACGACCAGTGCGAGCAGTGCGAACAGGCGACGCAGGACGAGACTCAGGCTCACGACGCTCTGTAAGACCTCCTGTGGGACCAGTGTAAGGAGAGGGAGCAGGGAGAGGCGAGGTAGGCGGTAACTGTGACTACGGCTGGACAGGCGGGGGACACCCTACGGAGGGAGGAGGACAAGGAGGAGGAGCCTGCCCAAGAACCTGCTGAAGGAGCGGTACGAAGTACGGCCGCGGCCGCGCAGCGTCTCCAGAAGCAGAAGAGACTCCAGCGGCCGGGTCCTCAGTACCAGCAGGAGCTCCAACGTCCGGGTCCCCAGCACCAGCAGCAGCGCCACCGCTCGGGTCCTCAGCTCCAGCAGCAGCTCCACCAGGTGGGTCCGCAGCACCAGCAGCAGCGCCACCCCCAGGGTCCGCAGCACCGCTAGGAAGAGCACCCCCAGAGTCGGCAGCTCCAACTCCGCTAGTACCGCCAGCTCCAGAGTCCCCAGCTCCAGCAGCTCCAGTCGTAGTGCTCCCAGAACAACCAGTCCCGGCAGCTCCAGTACCCCCAGTACGAGCACCCCCAGGACGAGCAGCTCCAGCACCCCAAACTCCAGTCGAGCCACTAGGACGGCGAAAGCGCCGGACGTACCAGTCACGAAGCTGCTGCGGTGTGAGAGACTGCTCAGCACCCCGAACCGGAGCACCCCCAGACGCAGCAACCCGAGGCTCCGTAGGCTCAGTAGCAGCACCCCCAGGCTCAGTACCCGCAGGCGCAGCACCCCCAGACTCAGCACCCCCAGACTCCGCACACGCAGGCTCAGCACCCCCAGACGCAGCACCCCCAGGCTCAGCACCCCCAGGCGCCGAACTCTCAGGCACAGTACCCTCAGCTCCAGCACCCGCAGTCCCAGCACTCCCAGGCCCAGCACCCGCAGGCTCAGCACCCCCAGGCTCAGCACTCCCAGCAGCACCACCTGCAGCAGCACCTGAGTCACCTGTGACCTCGACAGGCTCAGCGACGGGAGGAGGGTCTACCTGAGAAACACCTGAAGGAGCAGGACCCTGAGGGGGAAGGGGGTCTACCGGAGGGGGACCAGGAGCAAGGAAAAGCGGCGGGGGAGGGAGGGGGGCAGTGCGGTAGGGGAAGAGACGGTAAAAAGGGACCGACTCGTCAAAGGTGACGTCCTGAGAGGCGAAGACCCGGCGCGAGGTGGGGTGGTAAAACTGCCAGCCCGGCGCGTCAGGGACAAAGCCAAGGAAGACACAGGGAAGTGTGCGGGAGGAGAGCTTGTCCGCGGACGTATCGCGGACAAGGGCACGAGCACCCCACACCCGGAAGCGCGACGCATCGCCAACCTCCCCCGTCCAACGCAGTGTGGGCGAGGTCTCCGGCAAGGAGACACGGGGCCAGAGGTTGAGCTGATGCGCGGCGTACCGGACAGCAAACGGCCACAGAAAATGGGGAGCCGCCGCGTGGACCAAGGAGGTACGAGCGACCTCCATGACCAGGCCAATGCGGCGCTCAGCAACCCCATTCTGCTGTGGGGAGTCCGGAAGCGTGAAGGTCTGCTCGATGCCCTCCGCCTGACAGAAGGTCCTCAAGAGATCGGAGGAAAACTCACCACCTCTGTCAGAGTGCAGACGCAGGACAGGGAGATCCGTCCGGAAACGGCGGCGGAGCTGGAGACGAACTGTGCGGATCCAAGGGATTAGAACAGCAGGGACCTCACCCTTGGCGCGCAAGGGGAAGACCGTGGTGTAACGCGAGTAGTCGTCGACAACCAGCAAAAAGTACCGCTCACCGCCCTGTCCACGGACGCGGGCCGGGCCCCACACGTCCAGGTGGAGGGTCTGCAGAGGAGCCTCTGTCGGGGGGAACGAGGAGGAGTGAGGAGCGGCGCGCTGCCGCCCCTCGACGCAAGGAAGGCAAGGCGGCGCAGGCGAGGCAGGGAGGGGAGGGAGGGACCTGGGAAGACCAGACACAAGGCGGCTACGGTGCATGCCACGGAGGCGTGGCAAGGAGGGGTGACCCAGGCGGTGGTGCCAGAGAAGAGTCTGGTGCGACAGGGAACGACACTCACAGGTGTGGGCCACCAGACCTGACGCGGACACCTGACCGACAGCAGCGACCTGAGGAGACGCAGTGGTCAGTGTGTAGAGACTCGACCCCGGCCGACGGGTAAACGTAGCCAGGTGGCGGCCGGTCCTGGAGCACGTGCAGATCGCCACACGCTGTCCTCCAGGGGTAAAGGTGTCAACCCACTGATCCTGGATGACAGCGTTGCTCACCAGGTTCGTCGAGAACGAGGGGAGGTGGAAACCCGACAACGAGCCAGACGGAACCGCCGGACAAGGGAGCACAGTGGTGGACTGGGCAAGGACTGGGCCCCCAGAGGGGTCAGCCAAGGAGACTGGTACCGGTGCAGGAAGCGGTGTGAGCTCAGTACTGTCACGAAAGAAACAGCGGGAAGCACCTGAGTCAAGGGTGAAGGTGTGACAGGCCTCAGCCGGTGCGGTACCTGAGAGAGCAGTCTCTGTGGGTGCTGTACCTGAGAGAGCAGACTCGCAAACAGTCGGGACAGCACTGGAGGGAGCAAGTACAGGGGGCACTATACCAGAGAGAGCAGACTCACTAGTACCCAGGGCAGCGGGCTCTATACCTGGGTCAGGCGGCACACACAAGTAACAGTCTCCCTCGGCACTAACAGTCAATGCATACATGGCAGCAATAATAGCATCATAGTCAAGAGCAAAGATATCAACACCAGCCCTCATGAGTTCAGCCCAGCGGGGGCGCTCAACATCCTCGCCCATCTCCTCACGCCAAGCGTCGTCAAGGCGGGAGAAGCAGCGGTACGGGGTGTGGAACCTCCCACACGTCTGTCCCTTGCGGTCACCTGTGCGAATGACATAGGAACAGCGGCCACTGCCCCCCGACGTCCCACGCTGAGCAAGCCACTCACGAAGTTGCTGGGTCGTCTGGGGACGCTGCTGCTGCTGGGAGCTCTGGGCCGAGCCAGTGCCTCCACTCCGACCTCCGCCTCCACCGCCACCACTACCACCGCTCCGACCGCCACCGCCGCCACCGCCACCGCCGCCGCCGCCGCCACCGCCGCCGCCGCCACCACCGCCACCGCTCCCTCCGCCGCCCCCGCCTCCGCTGCCGACCCCACTCCCACCAGCACTCCCGCCACCGCTCCCTCCAGCACCGCCTCCCCCCCCACCTCCCCCACCTCCTCCCCCCCCAGCGCCACCCCCGCCACCCTTGCCCCCCTTGCCCTTGCCGGTGCGGCGCCTCCCACCAGGAGCAGAAGCAGCGCCAGCAGACTCAGCACCAAGGAAGTCAACAGCAGCAGCAGTAGCGTAGGAGGGAGCGAGGGGAGAGGGAGAACACCCCTCAAAGATGGGGGTGCGAGGAGCACCACGAGCAGCACCGACAGCGACAATGCTCTTTTCGGCCGCTAGCAGCTGCTCCTCTAGGAGGGCGACTGTGAGCTCAGTGGGACAGCGAGCAAGGAAGTGGTCTCGAACTGAGCTGAGGGTGTCAGGGAGACGGGTGACTATGAAGTGGAGTGTCCAGTACAGTGGAGGGGGGTTCTTAGCGCAGAACTCGGTGGGAAGGGCGGCACGCAGGCGAGCATCACTAGTGCGAAGGTGGGTGATAAGATCGGCGACTGTAGTAAAGGTGGACAGCTCAGGGAACAGGTACGGCAGCATGAGGCGGCTAAGCTCGGCTGTGGCAGGCGAGGAGTAGCGAGCAACGACAGCATCGTACAGGGCCTTAGCGGATTTGCAGTCGCCAAAATGCTCGAGCTCAGCTAGCGGCAGGTGACTGCGAATGGCTAGGCGAGCAGCTGCGTCACGAGTCTGCCAGTGGGAACGAACACTAAGCTCAGCTGTGGCAGGAGGGGCAGGTGCAGCACCAGACGCGTAATCATAGAGCGACACATGCTCCTTGCTATCGCTCAGAAGGAACAGCTGCAGGTCATCCAGCCAGGTGGCGAACTTCACAGGGCGGCCCTCAGCATCGAACGACAGCACGCGGATAGAAGCCATAGCGACAGTGCGACTGAGCAAAGGAAGCTGCCACAGCGCTGCAGGTAGGTAGCTCGGCGGGAAGCGCGGCGGGCGGGCGACGCGGCGAGCGGGCAGTGCGGAGGGACGGGCGACGCTGCGAAGTGGGCAGCGGGCGGGCTACGAAGCGGGCAGCGCGGTGGGCAGGCGGCGCTGCAGGCAGGAAGTGAGGCGGGCGGGCAGCGAAGCGGCCTGCGGGACGGGCAGGCGACGTGGCGAGCAGGCAGCGCGGCGGGCGGGCTGCGAAGCGGGCAGCGGGCGGGCGGGCTGCGAAGCGGGCAGCGGGCGGGCGGGCGACGCTGCAAGCGGGCAGCGGGCGGGCGGGCGACGCTGCGAGAGAGCAGCAGGTGGGCAGCGGGCGGGCTGGCGACGCTGCGAGCGGGCCGCACGGCGGGCGGGCGACGCAGCAGGTGGGCAGCGGGCGGGCGGGCGACGCTGCGAGCGAGCCGCGAGGCGGGCGGGCGACGCTGCGAGCGGGCAGCGCGGCGGGCGGGCGACGCTGCGAAGCGGGCAGCGGGCGGGCGGGCGACGCTGCAAGCGGGCAGCGGGCGGGCGGGCGACGCTGCGAGCGGGCAGCGCGGCGGGCGGGCTGCGAAGCGGGCAGCGGGCGGGCGGGCTGCGAAGCGGGCAGCGGGCGGGCGGGCGACGCTGCGAAGCGGGCAGCGGGCGGGCGGGCGACGCTGCAAGCGGGCGGCTCGGCGGGCGGGCGACGCTGCGAGGGGCGCGCGAGGGCGCTAACGAGGGGCGCACGAGGGCGCTAACAAGGGCGCGCGAGGGCGCTAGCGAGGGCGCGCGAGGGCGCTAACGAGAGGCGCACGAGGGCGCTAACGAGGGCGCGCGAGGGCGCTAACGAGGCTAGGGCACGGGGTAGCGTGGTAACCGCATGCGAGCGGTGGTGGGCCCTTAAAAAAATGGTCGGTAGGTCCTAGGGACCTCCTGCTCTGAATACCATGTCAGAATAACTAGGCAAGAATGATGCATTGAATGAAACAGTTGGGTACAAGTAGCAAACCCTAGTTGGGGTTGTACCCCATATTGGCTACCCCACTACAGCCTACCAACATATAACACATTACAATTTAACACCATCATCATGCTATGTGGTAGGCCGGAGCCCGAGAATGCCGTGGTGTGCGTGCCTGGTGCGAGGCATTGACTCCCGTGAGTAAGTTTCAGGCAATCACGGATCGGCGAGGCCCAGGCGGGTGGCGAAGGTTGGAGGAGTGGCCACCAACTAGCCCCGGGCCAGAAGGGAACAATGAGCGTCAGTGAGGCTGATGTCCTTTGTGCGTGGTGAAGGACTGCCGGGATCAGCTGTGGTGGTGGAAAGGCGAAACCATGTTCGTCAGCCCAGGATGTTGCGAAGGCGTTGATCGCTAGGGCCTTGGGATGTGGGTGTTCGCAGCAGAATCGGGGGAGCTTGGCATTCGCAGCACTGGCGAAGAGATCTATGGAGTGCGGCCCCCAACGTCGCTCGAGAAGGTTAAACCATGGGGTCTTCAAGGTGTAGTCGTCTCGGTCGAGAGTCTTCGAGAGCTCATCCGCGAGCGTGTTAAGCTCGCGAGGGATCCATTCCATGATCAAGCGAATGCGACGGGTCATGCAGGTGCGAATGATGGCTTTGCATGCGGTGGTGAGACAGCTGTTGCGCGATCCACCCTTTTTTAGAATAAAGAATACGCCCTGGTTGTCGACACGCACGAGCACATGTTTGTTCTGGATGAAGCTTGTGAAAGTTTGCAGTGCCCAGAGCACCCCTTCGAGCTCACGACGAGTACTGGACGTGCCAAGTAGTTCCGGGGGCATGTTCGCGCAGGCCTTATGAGTATTTGTGGAGAACGTGTCGAGTGTGGCCCCCCAGCTGTGCGCGCTGGCGTCAACATGAATGATTGCGTCGTAGCTACCACGAACATGAAATGGGGCTCCATTGAAGTGGTCGAACTCGATTGACCAGAACTCCAACTCTTCGCAAGCACTCGGGGGTAGTAACAACCTGCTGTTCCATGAAGGCGCATCATCGATGGTTTGTAGTAATGCGTGACTGAATGCTCGCGCTGTCGCCCCAAGGGCAAGGTTCATGGAGGCGAGCATGCCTGTGATACGTGCGACTTGCCGTACTGGGACTTTGTGCTGTGCACGTCCTGCGGCCAATAATGAAGCGATGGTAGATTGCAGGACGCTTCGTCGCTCCGTGCCGACAGAAAATTGTCCCCGCTGGGTATCGAGCTCCAATCCTAAGAATCTTAGCTGCTGAGTAGGATGGAGATGAGACTTTTTTGCATTGATCACGAGGCCCGCTTCTCTTAGGTCCGTGATCGTGCGGGTGCAGACGTCTCGAGCCTCGGCTTCTGTGTGGCACAGAAAGAGAATGTCGTCCACGTATGGAATAACGCGGACCCCTGTTGCTCGCCATCGACGTGCCAACTGCTTGATCAATTGAGTAAAGACGAAAGGCGCCGTCGCTAGTCCGAACGGGAGTGATCTGAAACAGTACGAACGCCCCTCGAACTCAAAACCCAAGAATTTCCAGCAGGACGCGTGGATGTCAACGTGGTGGTAACCCGACTTGAGATCAATTGAAAACATCCAATCCCCCGGATGTGCAAGTTCCGCCACGCGAGGGAGTCCTTCGTACTTGAACTTCGGAATGCACAGCTCGTTATTAACTTTACGTAGATCTAGGATGAGGCGACACTTGTCTCGCTGCTCGACGACGTTGAGGGGACTAATGCATGCGAGCTCCGATGCTGGCACCTCGATTGCTGCGCCGGTTTGAAGGAGATCTATGATGGCTGATCGCGTAAAATCCATGTGAGCATGGGTTCCAGCATGATTGGAGCACTGAAATGGTTGTGGCGGTCCTTGTTTCCACGGCATCCAGTAGCCCCGTTCAATAATTGATAAGACAAGGCTGCTCGTACACCAACTTCGCCACCAAGCCAATGCGGATCGCAAGCGCCCCCGCATGATGGAAATTGTCCTATCCGTCACTGCGTATTCGAAAGGGTGATCTTGTTGCCCCAAGGCATGCATCGAAAGGCCTGCACATAGCAGTATACCAGAAAGCAATACATAACAGTTAGTTTATTTTTTTTTTTTTTTTTTCCATCCGAGCAAGCGTTGACGCTCGAGTGGGATAACCCTCTTTTCAAGCACGAAACCATGGTTTTTTTTTTTTTTTTTTTTTTTTTTTTTTTTTTTTTTTTTTTTTTTACTTTCTTCATGGCTCCCATGAAAGTTTGTTTCCAAGAACTCATAGACTTCCTTTGCTAGCACTCAGTCCGTGGGGTTTGGTATATATGTTTTATATCCCTTCTTTCTCTTTCTCTCTCTCTCTCTCTCTCTCTCTATCTCTCTCTCTCTCTTCTCTCTCTCTCTCTCTCTCTCTCTCTCTCTCTCTTTCTCTCTCTCTCTCTCTCTCTCTCTCTCTCTCTCTCTCTCTCTCTCTCTCTCTCTCTCTCTCTCTCTCTTTCTCTCTTTCTCCCTCTTTCTCTCTCTCAATTTTCGCCAATACATTATGCGCCCGCTCGTGGCAAGATCGTTTGTACTTTGGTTCTTTTTATTAGTGTCATGATATTAAGTTTCTTGAGGCTTCATTTGCCTCCCTCAATAAGCCTCCTTGAGGCGTGGGGTGTTGAAACTGAAGAGCAACCAAGAGATCCTTGAGTAAGGCTTCTCTTCACTCTCACAACAAGTGCACAACAAAAATTATATAATTAGAAAGATCAACTCCATAGATCTTATCGAGAACTTCTAGGCAAGTGCCCTTAGACCCTCAATGGTCTATTCCCCTTAGAACTTTTCACAGCAAAAAATTAACGGAAAAGATCAACTTCATGATGCTCTAGAGAGCTTCTAGGCAAACGCCTTAGACCCCAAATGGTCTTTCCCCCCAAGGGCTAGCCAACCGGCAATAAAAAACAGCCCAAGGGCACGGCCAATAGCCTTCGTGCGGTTATGCGCCCCGTCACGTTTACACCACCGGTGCGGGTCCGTGAGGACCGTGCCCACCAGCAGGGCATGCGTTGGCAGTGTGGCCTGGCTGGCCGCAGCGGAAACAGGTGCCGCGGAAGCCCCTAGCATCGCAGCTAGGGGTCGTGCCGAATTTGCCGCCAAACCCCGTGGGACCGCGGCCTCCAAGGGAAGAACCGCGACCGTAGGAGCCTTGGGCGCGGTTCATTGCTGCCACATCCGCGAGCGCCTGCTTGAAAGGGCGCGAAGTCAGCACACTTTTCTGCTGGTACAGCTTGAAGCGGTGCGCCGTCTTGAAGTCGGAGGCGTCGGCGACTTGAAGGAGTTGGAAGCGATCGGCGATGAGCGCGTACGCCTCTTCGAAGAGCTCGAGAGCGCCAGCGGTGTCGCCGTGGCGTATCTTGTGCTCCGAGTGCTTCAGGTACGCGCGCAGGTCCTCCAGAAATTCGGCTTGCTCGCGTACCCCGGCGTGGTGAAAAGAAGAAGCCGGAATGGTGGGGTTGGTGGATGGGAGTGGAGGAAGATGTTCGGCAGGTGCAATAAAATTGTTGTGTGCATTAGCCTCACCCGCTTCGTCTTCAGAGTCGCTGTTGTCGTTGACGACGTTGGGCGCCGGAGCTGCAGCGTGTTCCCTTTCGGCACGAGGGACTTCGGGCACGCGGGGGTGACGTGCCAAATCGTTTCTTGCGTTTGCGTTTTTAGCAGATGCGGAAATTGTTGTCGCTGTAGGCGTAACCGTCGGCGGCTGCTGCTGTAACAGCGCCAAAAGCGCTTGGACCTGGTCAGCAGTCAGCGTCGGCGGAGTCAAAGCAGGGTCAGCCGTCGCGTCAGACGAAGACCCAGTTCGGCGCCTCTGGCGCTGACGCGACGGTCCGGCCACAGGTGCTGGCGCGTGCTCGGCGTCAGGCGCGTGTGGCGCCATGGGTGCTGCAGGTGCCGCGGTCGCCACTTACACCGCAGGCGCCACAGGCGCCGAGGGGTGCTGTTTGTTGGCGGTTTTGTTGACTTCCGCACTGCGCGTCAAAAGATCGACGCCAGTGGTCGCGATACATTCGTCATCCGCCCGTCGCTTGTTGCGGCGATCGCCCGAAATTTCACGGGCGTTCTTCTCGTTGTCCGAACGATTCGGGGCGTTGTCAGTCGGCGCCATTGAAGCTTGATTGTAGGTAAGAATGTCCGACAGCAGCGTCGAGGGTGAATGAAAACGTGGAAGGGTTTTCACCCTCGCCAGGTTGAGGTCCGAAAAAATCGGGAGGGGGTTGGAGCCTCCGACAAAATCGGGATGGGTCTCGGAACTGGGAATTGAACTTGAGCGATTGTAAAATGAGAGACGTGGGTGGGGGAAGAATGACCCCAGCCCACATTATATATTCGGAGAAGGCGAATACCGCGCTTCGACGATGCACAAAATTGCGTTACAGTCAGCTTCGCTTTCACAATACGCAAATTTGAAAGCGATTAAAACGCTTTAAAAAATTTTTATTTTACGCAAAACGTAAACAGCAATTGTGCAGTGCCACCACTACCAGCATATTTTTTACCCAACCCATGCACCCAAAGCAATCCCGTTATTGTCCACAATTATTTGAACGCGATCGGCGAAATATACCGCGGGAAAATAAGACCCACTCTTGATCGTCACAAACTCTCGGTCGCACTGCGGCGTGGCGGCCTCGATGTAATCGCGAGCCGCCTGCGCCGTCATTCCCTTCACCTCGTTCCACGACTTCTTGCTGAAAGATAAAAGAGCTCGCAATCGCGCAAGTCACGCAACTTGAGAGTCTGAATGAAAAGACAGAATATCAGTACTGTAAATAGACGAAAATCAGTATGAGATTATTAGGAGGAGGAATTTAGATCAGTGAGGAACTCAGATCAGTGACGAACCTGCAGCTGAGCCATGGTCTACATGAGCAACCTTTTGCTTGCGACTGTAGTATTTCTCGAGAGGAAGCGAGGGGAAGAAGCGAAGTGAAGAGAAGGAGCAGGACCAAGACAGGAAAGATACGGCGAAGCTCCATGGCTAACAATTGAAGGAACGAGAACCGAAGATCGTGAACCCGAGCAAGTGAAACAGATAGGCAGAATATAGGCTAAGATGCTCCTGCGTCAGAAATTGAAGACGGAAATGGAAGCGACACGAGCAGCCAAAAAACCGCCGACCCAACAGTCGACGATCCAACGGGCTTCCGCACTTCACGCGACGAATCCGTGTGGGGAGGAATGCAGCGGAACGAGTGAGTGAACTGGAAGTTGGAACGGTGTGTAATGCGACGCGACGCGAAGCGATGCGCGCTGTCTCCCCCCCCCCCCCCCCCCCCCCCCCCACCTTCACTGGAGCAACCATTTCCTGGATACATACGTACTTCTTCGGCCCGATTAGAGTGGAAAATACAAACGGCGGAAGTTTTCACGAGAGAATTGGCCGAGTCGTGCTCAACCAAGCCTGGCAGTCGCTGAAAGCTTATCTCGTTATAAAAAGCTTCGTTGAGTCTCAAAAGGATAAATCACTAGAAGTTACTGTACCACCACGACACCACAGCTGGATCTTTACAAGAGAATCAAATTGACCCAGCGAGCACTTCCCATTATGTAATTGAGCCATATGGAAGATGCGTAATTGATGTATATTCAGTTATGCCACTTGGAACCTTAAGTTGTTGACAAAGATTGATGTACATCCCTGTCCCGCATCTGTGGGTGGGGAGCGGGGGAGAGGGGAGAGGCGGCGGGAGGGGGAGGGGAGGAGGGGGGGAGAAAAGGGGGGGGGGGGAGGAGCAGCGGGTAGCAGCGCACTGACTTCCCTGTTGCTGCTGCTGTGGCTGCCTGCATTCTCTTCATCGCTGCACCATCCGCTGCATTCCTTACTATCGCGCCCGCTTCAACCTCTCTTGGCCGTGGTACTGGCCCCTTCAGAGCCACAACTTGACACACCCAATGCTCATCGCCATCACTGCTCCGGACTTTACATGTATGCCAAACAGGCGTACTTCTCCGAACATGCAACACGCACCAACCGCTGCATTCCCCACTATCGCGCCCGCTTCGTCCTCTCCCTTTGCCACAGCACTAGCCCCTTCAGAACTCCACGCACTTGATGCTGATCTCCATCGCTGCTCCAGATTTCACATGTGTCCCGAACATGTGTGCTTCTCCAAACATGCAGCACGCTTTCTCGCTGCACCATCCACTGCCTTCCCCACTATCATGCCCGCTTCGTTCTTTCTCCAGGTTGTTACACACGTGTAATGAGTCGTGTTTTGAATCGACTCAAAACACGACTCCTCGAGAGTCACAACCTGCCGCTACTGCTGCTGCTGCAGTAGCTGCCTGCTTGTCATAATCTCTGCACCAGACTTCACATGTGTGCCAGACACAGTACACGAGCTGCCACTGCAGCAGCAGCTGCATTCCCCATTATCTCGCCCGCTTTGACCTTCCTCTTGGCCGTGGCACTGGCCCCTTTAGAGTCGCAACTTGACGTGCCTGCTGCTGCTGTAACTCCCTACTCTATCTTAACACTTGCACCAGATGTCACATGTGCGCCAGACACACGACATGAGCTGTCATATGCTGCAAACCCCCCACTACCGTGCCTGCTTTGACCTTTCTCTTGGCCGTGGCACTGGCCCCTTTAGAGCCGCAACTTGACGCGCCTGCTGCTGCTGTTGCTGTTGCTGTTGTACATCCGTGCGTTATCTTAATATTCCACCAGATTCTACAATGCTCCAGACACATTACATGGCCTCTCATTGCAGCATCTGCTGCTATCCAACTACCGCGTCCACTTTGACCTCTCTCTTGGCCACGGCACTGGCCCTTTTAGAGTCACAACCTGACTCCTGCGCCTGCTGCTGCTGCTGCTGCTGCTGCTGCTGCTGCTGCTGCTGCTGCTGTGGCTGCTGCTGCCATTGCAACATGTGCTGCAATCCCCGCTACCGCCCTATCGAACCCACTATCTTGCCCGCTTCGACCTCTCTCTTGGTCGAGGCACTGGTCCCTTCAAAGTCACGACCTGACGTGCCTGCGGCTGCTGCAGCGGCTGCCGCTGTTGCGTTTGCTGTTGCTGTGATGGCTGTAGCGGCGGCTGTTGCGTGTGTTGTTGCATGTGTTGTTGACTCGGCACGTGCTGCTGCACTCCCTGCTGGCTGTTGCCTGCTGAATGCTGGTGACTGCTTCTTCCAACACCCGTCGCACCAGTGCCTGCTGCTGCTGCCGCTGCTGAAGCTGCTGCACCCTGCATTCCAGTTACCCTAGCGGCAGCAGTAGCAACACCAGTAGCCGTACCAGCCCCAGCACCAGCACTGGCAACAGCAGCAGCACGATTAGCACCAGAACCTGAAGCTACACCCGTACCAGCAGAAGCAGCAGTACTTGCACCAGCAGCAGTGGCAACTGGAGGAAAGGCATTCACCCCACCTGCTGCACCTGCCAAAGCTGCAGTTGCATGGTGCCCGGGAGTGTGATTATACGGACTGTGATTATGTCCAACGTGGGTGTACGGAGGGGTGCTGGGGTGAGAAAGCATGGCCGAGGGAATCGGGAAGGAGGAGGGGAGGTGGGTTCTACGATCAGAAAGAGTAGTGGGTGCTGATGTGGGTGCTGTTGGTGCTGATGCTGCTGATGGTGGTGTTGGCATCAACATTCCTGCCGCTGCTGCCGCTGCTGCAGATGATGCTGATCCGGTTGTGTTGGCCTGAAACGAAGAAGTGAAACAATTAGGTGTGGGACGAGAAACAGGGAGCAGGAAAAGAAAGGAAAAGACAGAAGCAAGAATGGGAGGGAGGAAATTGATTCACGCATGGAAAAAGATCAGAAGGTTGCAATTCAATGCACAAGCAAGGTCAAACACGCATCACTACACCCAACAGAATGAAGAAGGCCAACTTACAAACACACACTCATGACCGTTAACAGAGTCTCGAGTGGGGCCGCGGACGGTAATGTAGGCGCTACTTTTGAAATCTCTAACAGGTAACATCTACGGAGTCCCACAGTGAGGCCGGGTTTTGAGTCGGACTCAAAACACAGATTTCTCGAAAGTAACACCTACAGAGTCCCCAACTGAGGCCAGGTTTTGAGTCTTCCGCCGCGCCCGGCCTCACTGTGTCCCACACCTACGCAGAACCCTCACAAGTCCCACAGAACTCAAAACACAGAATTCTCAAAAGTAACACCTACAGAGTCCCCAACTGAGGCCGGGCGCGGCGGAAGATTCGGACTATAAGGAGAGGTTACATGAAAGTTTCAAGGGCTGACTTGAGGGAGGAGCTACCCACATTGAGAAAGACAAGCCTCCCAGAGACGTACCTTGGAAGTTGGAAGTCTTGTTGCAGAAGTTGACTTTTGAATCGACTGAAAAAAACAACTTCGGGCTGTAAGGAGAGGTTACACGGAACTTTCAAGGGCTGACTTGAGGGAGGAGCAACTTAGAGACGTGCCTTGGAAGTTGGAAGTCTCGCTGCAGAAGTTGACTTTTGAATCGACTGAAAAATCAACTTCGGGCTGTAAGGAGAGGCTACGTGGAATTTTCAAGGGCTGACATGAGGGACGAGCTACCCAGAGACGTACCTTGGAAGTTGGAAACCCGTTGACCTATAAGTTGACCTATAAGTTGACTCGAAAGTCAACTTCGGGCTGTAAGGAGAGGCTACGTGGAATTTTCAAGGGCTGACCTGAGGGAGGAGCTACCCAGAGATGTACCTTGGAAGCCCCGCTGCGGAAGTGCCGCTTTCCGCCAGCCACGGCGGGGCGGGAATAGGCGATGGTGGAGAGGCGCGGCATGTGGGACTGTAAGAAATGGTTATATGGGATTTGCAAGGGCGCAGTTGAGAGGAGCTAGAACCCAAAAACTTACCTTGGAAGCCCCGCAGGCGCGTCATGTGGGACTGGAAGAATCGGTTACATGAAATTTAAAAGGGCGCAGTTGAGAGGAGCTAAGCAGAGACTGACCTTGCACGCGCCACTGCAGACGGTTGGACTCCCGCGGGAGTCGGTGGCTGAGAGGCGCGTTACGTGGGACTGTACGATTCGAAGAGGTTACATGGGATTCCCAAGGGTTCCAAGGGAAGGGCGCAGTTGAGAGGAGCTACCCAGACGGTAGTTTCTGATTTACCTTGCACGCGCCACAGCAGACGGTTGGACTCCCGCGGAAGTTGGCGGCGGAGGAGAGGCGCGTTATGTCGGACTGTACGATACGAAGCGGTTATATGGGATTCTCAACGGTTCCAAGGGAAGGGCGCAGTTGAGAGGAGCTACCCAGAAACGTACCTTGGACGCGCCGCTACGGAAGTGCTTTCCGCCAGCGACGGCGGGGCGCGAGTCGGCGGCGGAGAGGCGCGTCATGTGGGACTGTTAGAAGGGTGTTAGAAGGGTTACATGGAAACTACCCAGTAACTTACCTTGGACGCGCCACTGCGAAAATGTTTTCCGCCAGCGACGGCGGGGCGGGAGTCGGCGGCGGAGAGGCGCGTCATGTCGCGGCGCGCGCGGCGGATCATCTCGAGAAGATCGCCGTCACTCTCGAGGGTGTCGGACGCTAGGAGGTCCAACGCGCGGTGGAATGGCCGGGAAGAATCTGACGCCATGCCGACAATTTGAACCGCTAGCCGGTTGAGAGGTGTACGAGTGAATGTTTGCTAAGCAGTCGGGTCGGTCAGTCGTGGCGGATCATCTCGAGGAGATCGCCGTCAATCTCGAGGGTGTCGGCGGCTAGGAGGTTCAACGCGCGGTGGAATGGCCGGGAGGAATCTGACGCCATGCCGACAGTTTGATCCTCGTCACTCTTGAGATTGTGGCATATTATACATTTCCAATTACTGTCACAGCCGCCCTAGCTCAGTCGGTAGAGCGCAAGGCTCTTAACCTTGTGGTCGTGGGTTCGAGCCCCACGGGCGGCGTTTTCGCTTTTGCGTATTTCCTTTCCGTTCCTGAGAGTTTTTTCGCGTCTTTCCTTTAGCTTCCTGCAACTCGTCCCGCGCTTTCACGACCGTCAATGATGAGATGGAGAACTTTCCTCGTAGTGTTGCCTGACGGCCGCTAGGGAAGGCGTCTAGGCTATAAGGCTCTCAGGCCGCAGTCGCGAGGTCCGTAGACGTCTCTAAAGCCGCTGCTAGGGCAGCTGTTTAGGTTGTTAGTCGCTCGCGCGCGCGCGCTGCACGGCTGCTAGCTCACAGGGCCCGTGAATTCGCCTGGGCGGAGTCAGCAAACAAGCCAAATTAGTTTTTTTGGAATTCTCTGGGGAACCTTTAGACGGCTAGTCTCTCATGGCGTCTTCTTCCTCCTCCTCCTCCTCCTCCTCCTTCTCCTTCCCCTTCTCCTTCCCCTAGCCCAGATTCTTCTTCCTCCGTTTCTCCCGCTATTATCCCGTTTTTCTGCACCGCCCTCTTGCTTTTACCCGTGATCCTCGTTATAGTCCGGTCGTATATCCGATCGCGCGTGAAGCGACACTCGTTCGGGTTCTTCCACCCGTTCACCAACGATGGCGGAGGCGGCGAGCGAGTGCTGTGGTGCGCCGTACGCGCTATACAGGTACTCGTTACTGGATACCCGCAGTACGAATTCTTGTGGTTTGGTACGCGCTATACTGATACTCGCAGATACGTACATGGAAGGGCTGATTGTCTATTCGCCTCCTTATTCTCCGCTCACTTGCAATATCGACCCACCCTAAAATCATTGTTCATCTCGTCTCCACCTATTCCTGGGCAAAGTACATTCTCCCCACCTGTTTTTCGGGTATTTTGGGCGTTTACCCTCCAGGAGCTTGACCCCTTGGCGCAATGCTTCGTGTACACTGGCGACGTGGCATCTCCTGATTCGCTGGCGGAGAGAGCACACAACCTGTTTGGAGTGGTCCTGCCTCGACCAGTGGAGGTACCGTGTTGTGTCATGTGGTTACCACGCTACTATAACTCTGGGTTACCATGTTTGAGCGCCCCGACCAGTGGAGGTAACGTGATGTGTCATGTGGTCCCCTATTTGGTGGTTACCACTCTTTGATTACCACCTTTCGGAGCGAACGTATTCGGAGTGGTTCTGCCCCGGCCAGTCGAGGTAACGTGTTGTGTCATGTGGTCCCCAATTTGGTGGTTACCACTCTTTGATTACCACTCTTTGATCACCACCTTTCGGAGCGAGCACACAACCTGTTCGGAGTGGTTCTGCCCCGGCCAGTCGAGGTAACGTGTTGTGTCATGCGGTTACCACGTGTTGTGTCATGTGGTTACCACGTTTGCATGGTTACCACTCTGAATTGCCACGTTTGCCCGCACTTCACTCTCCTCAACCAATCACTCCAAGTCCCACCCCCACTCCCACACCCTCTCCTCTCCTCCCTTGTCCCCATTACAAACCCAGGTCGTCCACCTGTCCTACCGCCATCTAGTGGAGGCTTCCCTCTATCCTCGTTTCACTCTCCTCGGCCAATCACTGGGCTCCATGGCTCTCGCACTAGAGGCCTCTCTGCTCTTTCATCCCATATATTCGTCCCCCCTGTGCCTGCCCCCTATAGGTCGTGCGTCTGTCCTACCGCCATCTAGTTGAGGCCTCCCTCTCCCCGCGCTTCACCCTCCTCGGCCAATCACTGGGCTCCATGGCTCTCGCACTAGAGGCCGTTCTCCGCCTCTTTTCCCCTCCCCCTTCCCCCCACCTACAGGTCGTGCGTCTATCTTACCGTCATTTAGTGGAGGCCTCTCTCTATCCCCGCTTCACTCTCCTCGGCCAATCAGTGGGCTCCATGGCCCTCGCACTAGAGGCCGTTCTCCGCTGCCCGCCCGCTGTTTTCGTGGACACGGCCGGATACGCGTTCTCTTATCCTGTAGTGAAGCTGCTGTTAGGGGGACGAGCAGGGAGAGGAGGGGGGGGGGGAGGAGGAGGGGGAGGGTGTTTGGTGGTGTGCTATACGCACTACCCGACAATCAGTGGAGACATGTTGCAGCGGGTGCAGCAGCGCACTAGCATGTATAACAACGATGACACTGTTGCTAACAGGTGGGTGTATGTAAGAAAGGGGGGTGCAGGTGGGTGTAAGAAGGTAGAGGTGGGTACTGAGTGGTTATACGCACTATCCGACGATCAGTGGTGACATGCTGCAGAGAGTGCAGCAGCACACTAGCATGTATAACAACGATGATACCGTTGCCAACAGGTGTTTATGAATGTACAGATGGGTGTAACGTAAGACGGTACAGGTGGGTGTAAGAAGGTACAGGTGGGTAATGAGGCGTCGCACTATCCGACGATCAGTGGTGACATGCTGCAGAGAGTGCAGCAGCGCACTAGCATGTATAACAACGATGCCGCTGTTGCCAACAGGTGGGTGAGTGGGTGGGGACAAGGTGGGCAGAGGAGAGGAGAGGAGAGGAGGGAGGGTGTTTGGTGGTGTGCTATACGCACTACCCGATGATCAGTGGAGATATGGTGCATGCACGCTGACTGACAGTATCACCATGGTGCATGCATCCTCCCAGGCTGAGGGGAGGGCCACATTCAACGAATCTGGCCTCCTCCTGGGCTGATTGATGGGGTGGGTGGGTGGGCGGGTGGGCACAATGAATGGCCACAATCACCAGGGTGCACGCATCCTCCCGGGCCGAGGACCTTATCAAGCTGCTATCCCATTGTCGTCCTTTCCGCTCCCCTCCTCTCCTCCTCCAAGCTCTACTACCACCGCTTCTTCTCATACTAATACTAGTGGGCGGGTGCGCACATTTAAGTTGCTTCCGCGTTGCATTTCCACACCCTCCCTTCCACACACTCCCCCCCATCCCCCGAAGCAAACTCTACTATTATCGCTTCTTCGCATGTCTATACGGCTGGGTGCGCAGGCACGTGGATAGCATCACCAATGCCCATGCGTACCTACTACCCTGTCCCCCCATCACCAGCGCCTTCCTTTCCTTCCCAAGCTCTACTACTACCGCTCCTGGCCTGGACCAACAGGAGGGCCACACACACTCCAGCTGCTGAAGGTTACAACCAATCTGCCATGCAGCAAACAACTTCTCCACGTACAATCCGCATGAAATGAGCCGTGTTTTGAGTCGACTCAAACCACAGCGCCTTCCTTTCCTTCCCAAGCTCTACTACTACCGCTCCTGGCCTGGACCAACAGGAGGGCCACACACACTCCAGCTGCTGAAGGTTACAACCAATCTGCCATGCAGCAAACAACTTCTCCACGTACAATCCGCATGAAATGAGCCGTGTTTTGAGTCGACTCAAACCACAGCGCCTTCCTTTCCTTCCCAAGCTCTACTACTACCGCTCCTGGCCTGGACCAACAGGAGGGCCACACACACTCCAGCTGCTGAAGGTTACAACCAATCTGCCATGCAGCAAACAACTTCTCCACGTACAATCCGCATGAAATGAGCCGTGTTTTGAGTCGACTCAAACCACAGCGCCTTCCTTTCCTTCCCAAGCTCTACTACTACCGCTCCTGGCCTGGACCAACAGGAGGGCCACACACACTCCAGCTGCTGAAGGTTACAACCAATCTGCCATGCAGCAAACAACTTCTCCACGTACAATCCGCATGAAATAAGCCGTGTTTTGAGTCGACTCAAACCACAGCGCCTTCCTTTCCTTCCCAAGCTCTACTACTACCGCTCCTGGCCTGGACCAACAGGAGGGCCACACACACTCCAGCTGCTGAAGGTTACAACCAATCTGCCATGCAGCAAACAACTTCTCCACGTACAATCCGCATGAAATAAGCCGTGTTTTGAGTCGACTCAAACCACAGCGCCTTCCTTTCCTTCCCAAGCTCTACTACTACCGCTCCTGGCCTGGACCAACAGGAGGGCCACACACACTCCAGCTGCTGAAGGTTACAACCAATCTGCCATGCAGCAAACAACTTCTCCACGTACAATCCGCATGAAATAAGCCGTGTTTTGAGTCGACTCAAACCACAGCGCCTTCCTTTCCTTCCCAAGCTCTACTACTACCGCTCCTGGCCTGGACCAACAGGAGGGCCACACACACTCCAGCTGCTGAAGGTTACAACCAATCTGCCATGCAGCAAACAACTTCTCCACGTACAATCCGCATGAAATAAGCCGTGTTTTGAGTCGACTCAAACCACAGCGCCTTCCTTTCCTTCCCAAGCTCTACTACTACCGCTCCTGGCCTGGACCAACAGGAGGGCCACACACACTCCAGCTGCTGAAGGTTACAACCAATCTGCCATGCAGCAAACAACTTCTCCACGTACAATCCGCATGAAATGAGCCGTGTTTTGAGTCGACTCAAACCACAGCGCCTTCCTTTCCTTCCCAAGCTCTACTACTACCGCTCCTGGCCTGGACCAACAGGAGGGCCACACACACTCCAGCTGCTGAAGGTTACAACCAATCTGCCATGCAGCAAACAACTTCTCCACGTACAATCCGCATGAAATAAGCCGTGTTTTGAGTCGACTCAAACCACAGCGCCTTCCTTTCCTTCCCAAGCTCTACTACTACCGCTCCTGGCCTGGACCAACAGGAGGGCCACACACACTCCAGCTGCTGAAGGTTACAACCAATCTGCCATGCAGCAAACAACTTCTCCACGTACAATCCGCATGAAATGAGCCGTGTTTTGAGTCGACTCAAACCACAGCGCCTTCCTTTCCTTCCCAAGCTCTACTACTACCGCTCCTGGCCTGGACCAACAGGAGGGCCACACACACTCCAGCTGCTGAAGGTTACAACCAATCTGCCATGCAGCAAACAACTTCTCCACGTACAATCCGCATGAAATAAGCCGTGTTTTGAGTCGACTCAAACCACAGCGCCTTCCTTTCCTTCCCAAGCTCTACTACTACCGCTCCTGGCCTGGACCAACAGGAGGGCCACACACACTCCAGCTGCTGAAGGTTACAACCAATCTGCCATGCAGCAAACAACTTCTCCACGTACAATCCGCATGAAATGAGCCGTGTTTTGAGTCGACTCAAACCACAGCGCCTTCCTTTCCTTCCCAAGCTCTACTACTACCGCTCCTGGCCTGGACCAACAGGAGGGCCACACACACTCCAGCTGCTGAAGGTTACAACCAATCTGCCATGCAGCAAACAACTTCTCCCTCCCTCCCTCCCTGTCCCCCGAATCACCAGCGCCCTCCTCTCCTCCTCCAAGCTCTACTATTATCGCTTCTTCGCTTTACTCTACGGGTGGGCGGGTGGGCACGCTGACGTCACCATGGTCAACTCCTCCTCCTCCTGTACCGATGGAATGTTCACATTCATGCTGTTTCTGAATTGCGCTCTCACTCCCACTCTCCTGAATCACTCGCCCCCTCAGTCTATCCCACACACTACTCCCCTCTATTCCCCGATACCAGCGCTGTTCTTTCCTCCTCCAAGCTCTACTATTATCGCTTCTTTGCCTTACTCTACGGGTGGGCGGGCGGGCACGCTGACGTCACCATGGTCAACTCCTCCTGGTCCAAGGGGAGTTCCACATTCAAATACCATACACCCTCTCTTCCGCTCTCAGGTTCCTGATTGCGTTTCCACTCTCTCTCTCTCTCTCTCTCTCTCTCTCTCTCTCTCTCTCTCTCTCTCTCTCTCTCTCTCTCTCTCCCATACACTCTCTCTTCCCGTTCTCTGTCCCAGCGCTGTTCTTTCCTCCTCCAAGCTCCACTACTATCGCTTCTTCGCTCTACTCTACGGGTGGGCGGGCGGGCACGCTGACAGTCACCATGGTCAACTCAATGTCCATGTGTTCCCACTGCCCTCTCCCTCAATCCCCAATCACCAGCGCTGTTCTTTCCTCCTCCAAGCTCTACTATTATCGCTTCTTTGCCTTACTCTACGGGTGGGCGGGCGGGCACGCTGACGTCACCATGGTCAACTCCTCCTGGACCGAGGGCCACATTCGGCGAATCTGGACGCGCAACAAGCCGAGCTCCGTGCATCGGGTTTACCCTCCCTGCGACACCGCTGCTCTCCAGGTGTGTGTAGGTTTTATTCCCCATAATACTTGGCTTACCAATGTGCTGCACACATTCGGCGAATCTGGACGCGCAACAAGCGGAGCTCTGTGCACCGGGTTTACCCCCCCTGCGACACCGCTGCTCTGCAGGTGAGTGTAGATTGTACTCGCATGCTAATGTGCACGGGGTTTGGCTTGTTAAACACTACTTCATCTGTCTGTCATTTCAGTGGTATGTCCCTCCTTCCTTTCATCTTCTCCTCCCCCCCCCCCCTTTACCCTCCCCTCCAGGCCCTCCCTCTCTCGCGCTCCTCTCCTGGTTACATTATCTCTGTTGCCCAGTTCCGACCAGAAAAGGTACAGTGCCTTTATTTTTTTCATTCTCAAGTGAATACATAGGAAGTGGACAGGACTGGGACAGTGCATGCCAAGAAGCCATGGTACATTTGATGAAAATGGTACAGTGCATTGCATTCTGAAATATATATTTTATGTAGAAAATGCATTGTCCAAGTTTCACAGATGACACCTGCTCTTACTCAACACTGCATGCATGTAACAACTGCAATCACATTACCAGGCAAATATTGCTGAAATTATGTGCTTCGTACTATTGCTCCTCTATTGGGCCTTGTTTCTAGTCACCTCTTTAACAACCTATCGACTCCTTTTCCCTCCTCGTCCCTCACTCACCTCCTCCTCTCTCACTCACCTCCCCGCTCTCGTGTCTTTCAGAACCACGCATTGCAGCTCCGAGCTTTTGCACAGGCCATAAAGCCCCCGCCACCATCCGATCCAACGGCTGACACTTCATCAAGACCCGATCCAACGGCCAGCGCTCAATCGAATCCCGATCCGATGGCTGGCGTGCGTCTGAAGCTGGTGGGCAGCAGCCGGCACCACGAGGACGAGAAGCGGATCGAGCTGCTGGGGTGCCTGGCAGTGTCGTTGGGCATTGAGAGACGGGTTGATTTCATCGTCAACACCCCTTTCAGGTAACATAGGCGAATTCAGACAGACGAGCAGCCGGCACCGGGAGGACGAGAAGCGGATCGAACTGCTGGGGTGTTTAGTAGTGTCTCTTGGCATTGAGAGACGTGTTGATTTCATCGTCAACACCCCTTTCAGGTATGTTAGTGAGTGGGTTAAAGCATCGAGTGCGTGTGAAGCTGGTGGGCAGCAGCCGGCACCAGGAGGACGAGAAGCGCATCGAGCTGCTGGGGTGCCTGGCAGTGTCGTTGGGCATTGAGAGACGGGTTGATTTCATCGTCAACACCCCTTTCAGGTATGTTAGTGCGTGGGTTAAAGCATCGAGTGCGTGTGACGCTGGTGGGCAGCAGCCGGCACCAGGAGGACGAGAAGCGCATCGAGCTGCTGGGCTGCTTTCTTTCGAGTCGACTCAAAAGCTGCTGGGCTGCCTGGCGGTTTCTTTGGGAATAGAGAGACGAGTGGATTTCATCATCAACACTCCCTTCAGGTATGTTGGTGTGTGGGTCACACGATGCCTTGGTTTTCACTCCCAGTGACCTCACTGTGCCCATGTGTTTCTCACTGCATGGCAGGGAGCTGCAGCAGCTACTAGGCAGTGCTACCTGCGGCATACACACCATGTGGGACGACCAGTGTTTTCACTGTTCAATGTGTTACCGCACTGTACCCATGTGTTTCTCACCGCATGGCAGGGAGCTGCAGCAGCTACTAGGCGGTGCCACCTGCGGGGTACAAACCATGATGCCTAATGACTTCACTTTTCCTATCCCCTGTTACCGCATTGTGCCCTGTCCTCTTTATGGCAGGGAGCTGCAGCAGCTACTAGGCGGTGCCACCTGCGGGGTACACACCATGTGGGACGAGCAGTGCTTTCACTGCTCAATGTGTTACCGCACTGCACCATCTGTTTGTGATTGTATAGCAGGGAGCTGCAGCAGCTATTAGGTGGAGCAACCAGCGGCATGCACGCCATGCCTCAATCTCACCGCTCCTATCCCGTACCGCACTGCACCCATGTGTTCATCCGACAGGGAGCTGCAGCAACTATTAGGCGGCGCCACCTGCGGTATACACACCATGTGGGACGAGCACTTTGGCATCAGCGTGGTCGAGTACATGGCAGCAGGAGCCATCCCCATAGGTGAGTCGAACATTACATACGAGTATGCACACTTGGTGCATAACATTGCACACCACTCCCTATAGGTCGAATACATGGCAGCGGGGGCTGTCCCTATAGGTGGGTCTATTTAAGGAGCCACCTGTAAGGTACATCAGCGTGGTTGAGTACATGGCAGCAGGGGCTGTCCCCGTTGGTGGGTGTGTGGGTCTTTGATGGGCACTCTGGTAGCACGTACCACCACTAGGGTAGGCACCACCTGTGGGGAGCATTACATTGCACACCACACCACACCATGTGGGACGAGATGAGCACTTTGGCGTGAGTGAGCGTGGTGGAGTAATGGCAGCAGGGGCTGTCCCTGTCGGTGAGTCGATCATATGTGTTGGGAGTACCCAGTAGTAGGGATGAGCACTTTGGCGTCTGCGTGGTGGAGTGGATGGCAGCAGGGGCTGTCCACATAGGTGGGTGGGTGATAGGATCAGGAAGAGAAGGCAGGCCATTCTCACCCACACTCCCTCTACCTTTCTCCGTTTTGTTCCTTTGTTCTGTTCCTTGTTCTGCTCTGCTTTCTTTCCTTCAGCCCACAACTCTGCCGGCCCGAAAATGGATATTGTTGTGCCGGCCTGTCATGCCGGTTGCAGAAATAAAGTAGGGCAGGAGAACGGGGGAGGTGAGGAGGGAGATGAGGAGCGAGACGAGGGAGGCGAAGAGGAGCTTTCAAAGAAGCAATCAGAGCCGTTGATTCAGAAGGGCCAGTTGGAAGCTGAGTCATCGGGCTGCCCTGTAGGGTTTTTGGCTACGACTGAGGACGAATACGCTGCTGCCATGCGGGCGGTGTTCGCCATGTCAGCGGAGGAGAGGGAGCGGATGGCAACAGCTGGCAGGGAGCGGGCCAAGCGATTCTCTGAGGAGAATTTTGATAAGAGCTTCAAGGACGTTTTAGGACCTGTGCTTGGATGCTCTTGAGCGAGGCCGATTTTGAGTCGACTAAAAAAAAAAAAACGAGGACGTATTTGGATTTTCTTGAGCGATTCTGATAAATCATGGTACTTATTCGTCTGTACTTACAGCATATGTTAGTCCATTCAAAATGGGTGACATTCACATGTTGGTGCTGTGAAATGAAACCAGCAGGGAAGTGAATGTACGGTAATATTTCTTAACCAAATGATACAGTAAAACTTGGCTGTCTCGAGGCCCTTCTCAAAGCGTACTTGCGGTTTCCAGGATTCCCCCCCGCCCTGGATTCTCTGTCCCCTGCTACCTTTGGCACTTTCGAGGCCTGTCGATTCACGGACGTTTGTCCGATTCCCCTGAGAATTCAGGGTTGGTTAAATCTCGGCTCAGAGATTTTCAAGGTTGGCTTTCCCCTTGGCCCGTATTTCTATGGACAGCATTGGGATAATTTCCAGACGGGCCGAAACAGTCATTCAGAAAACTAGCTGATACGAAATTCGTTCGTAGAGTGCAGACGGGAAGGGGGGGAATATCTGGGAGTGGGAAATCCCTGAAGGGGTTTTGAAAATACCCAAACAATTTGAAAAGTGTGAAGCTCGACCCATGTTGGACAACACCGTCTACGAAATTACCTATTTATAGCTCAAATTACACCTATTTTTAAGCATATCCCACCGTCATACGGGCCCGGCTATGATTCCGCTGCAAGCTCCACCGTGCCTGATCAACAAACCTGTGAATTTCGTTTCTGCTAAGTGCTCCTCCACAAATACGTCACTGGGGAGTGGGAAATCCCTAGGAGAGGTAAATTTTCAGAATAGAAAACAATTTGAAGGGTATGGGAGATCTTCGGATGTTCGACGAACACCGTCATTGAAATACCTCGTTATAGCTCAATTTCCGACAGTAGAACCTTCGTTAGACGGAGTCGTTTAGAAGATTACTCTTCACTACTTTTACCCGATAAATTACACTTTCTTCAAAACCATAGCCCACCGTCATTATGGGGTTCTGTGCTATAATCCGTGCCTGCACGAACCTGTGGATTTTTTCCGTAAAGCGCTCCTTCACAAATACGCCACTGAACTGATAAAACTATTTCAGTGGCGGATAAAACTTCTGCTAGAAACTATTTGAAGGATGTGGAGTATTTTTCGGATGTTCGACAAACACTGTCATAAAATACCTCGTTATAGCTCAGATTTCGACAGTAGAACCTTTGTAAGACGGAGTCATTTAGAAGATTACTCTTGACGAACTTGTACCCGATAAATTACACCTTCTCTTATATAATAGCTCACCGTCATTATGGGGCTTGTCTATGTATCCGCTGCAAAGCACCACCGTGCCTGATCCAGAACCTGTGAGTGTCGTTTGTGTATAGAATTAACTAGAATAGTAACGTGGCGTCGACTCGCTAATTGCCCAGGGTCAGGCGTTTACTCACAGTTTTTAGGAGAGGTTTGGCCAACCAGCATTGTTTTTGGAACTTTTGAACATTACCATGGCGACGCCGGACGACTCGGTTTTCATCTATCGAACGCTTCGTACCGTTATCGGAACGAGTGCATTGAGCGGCCCGTTAGTGAGCGACCCGTTAGTGAGTGACCCGTTAATGAGTGATCCGTTATTGGCTGATTTGTTATCGTCGACGCCCGGTACGAGTGCCTCCCTGCCTGCTGATACTAGTCGCGAGATTGCCGCGTTAGTTGCTGAGATGGACGAGAGATATTCGTTTGCAAGATTGCTGTCCGCCACGCGTCCTTCTCTACCCGATTCTAGCGCACGCGCTACGACTGTAGATCACGAAAACGACGAGGATGACGACAGCGACGGGGACGCGGAGGACGAACTTGTAATTCGCCTCGTCGACATAGACGTGGTTACCACATCTATCGAGAACAAATCAGTTTCCGATACAACAAAACTCGATATAGGTCAGCCTGAAAATTCAGGAGATGTAGCTCGATCGGACGGCGGACAGGTTTTGCGCGGGGAAGTAGCTGCGAGCGGAGCCGTTGGATTAGGAACTGACGATGATGATGGCGTCGCTGCTGCATCAGTAAAGGACGGCGAGTCGCGGGAAAAGGAGATTGTCGAGGATAAGAAGAAGCGGAAAGCGCAGGGGCAAGCGGATGGCGAAGCGGCTGCAAAGGCGGGGGAAGTAGGGGAAGGGGGGGAAGCGGGGGAAACCAGAGGCGGGAAGCTTGCTCGTGTTGCGCCAGTGGCGGAGCCTGAAGCGCCAGTGGCGGAAGCGCGGGACGGAAAGCCTGCGCCAGCGGCGGAGCCTGAAGCGCCAGTGGCGGAAGCGCGGGACGGAAAGCCTGCGCCAGCGGCGGACCCTGCAGCGCCGTGGAGCGTAGGGCATCCCGAGGGGCATCCGCGCAGCCCCTTCCTGCGCCTCCACCAAGGCAAGCCTCCACGTCCCCCTCATAACGACCGTACACCCTGAACCCCCCCTAAACCCCGGCCCACCTAAACCTGGAACACTCACCTACGCGGCGCCGTGGATCGTGGGCCACCCGTAGGGAAGCCTTTACGGGTGGCCCCTTTCTCCGCCTGCATCAAGGCAAGCCTCTGCGTCCCCTGTATGACTATTGTAAACCCTAAACCCCTTAAACCTTGCCCCTTGCAACCCCTCCCATTTCTGAAGTTCAGAAACAATAGAGTTTGCCAGTTCGTGGAGGCATTTAGGGTAGGAGAAGAAGGCGAGGGCAGCGGTGGGGCACACTTGTAAAACCTCACTGTATTCCCGTTCGTCTTCCCCATTCTTAACCCCAGAGATCGTGGAGTTCCGTCAGTTTGTGGAGGCGTCAGAGCAGGAGAAGCAGGCGCGGGCTACGCATTAAACCCTGCGCGTTTCCCTGTCTCCCTGCCCTCCTTCTAAGCTGCGGAAATTGTGGAGTTCCGTCAGTTTGTGGAGGCGTCAGAGCAGGAGAAGCAGGCAAGGGCGGAGGCGGTGGGGCACACTTGCAAAACGCTCACCGTATTCCCATTCATCTTCCCCATTCACCCTCCCGACCTTCAACACCAGAGATCGTGGAGTTCCGTCAGTTTGTCGAGGCGTCAGAGCAGAAGAAGCAGGCAAGGGCGGAGGCTGTGGGGCGGGCGAGTGGCACATGGTCTTTATTAACCCCTTCTCACCCTCACTGTATTCCCGTTAATCTTCCCCTTTCCGAACCCCAGAGATTGTGGAGTTCTGTCGGTTTGTCGAGGCATCGGAGCAGGAGAAGCAGGCGCGGGCAGAGGCAGTGGGGCGGGTGACAGCTGTCATCCAGAGAACACGGGAGCATCCTCTAAGCTGACCAGCCTCCGTGCCCCCGCTCATGTTCCCCTTGCCGGTTTTTGAGAATTCTCAAAAACCAGCCTCCGTGCCCCCGCTCATGTTCCCCTTGCCGGTCTTTGAGAATTCTCAAAAACCAGCCTCCGTGCCCCCGCTCATGTTCCCCTTGCCGGTTTTTGAGAATTCTCAAAAACCAGCCTCCGTGCCCCCGCTCATGTTCCCCTTGCCGGTTTTTGAGAATTCTCAAAAACCAGCCTCCGTGCCCCCGCTCATGTTCCCCTTGCCGGTTTTTGAGAATTCTCAAAAACCAGCCTCCGTGCCCCCGCTCATGTTCCCCTTGCCGGTTTTTTAGAATTCTCAAAAACCGGCCTCCGTGCCCCCGCCCATGTTCCCCTTGCCGGTTTTTGAGAATTCTCAAAAACCAGCCTCCGTGCCCCCGCTCATGTTCCCCTTGCCGGTTTTTGAGAATTCTCAAAAACCAGCCTCCGTGCCCCCGCTCATGTTCCCCTTGCCGGTTTTTGAGAATTCTCAAAAACCAGCCTCCGTGCCCCCGCTCATGTTCCCCTTGCCGGTTTTTGAGAATTCTCAAAAACCAGCCTCCGTGCCCCCGCTCATGTTCCCCTTGCCGGTTTTTGAGAATTCTAACCTGTGCAGCCTCCGTGCCCCCGCTCATGTTCCCCTTGCCAGTTTTTGAGAATTCTAACCTGTGCAGCCTCCGTGCCCCCGCTCATGTTCCCCGTGCCAAACACCAGAAATCGTGGAGTTCTGCCGGTTCGTCGAAGCATCGGAGCAGGAGAAGCAGGCGCGGGCGGAGGCGGTGGGGCGGGTGACAGCTGTCATCCAGAGCATCTGGGCGCACTGCCACGTGGAGGTGTTTGGTTCGTACGCCACTGGCGTGTATCTACCCACTAGTGATGTTGACGTGAGTGCAGCGCAGCGGAATGCAGCACAGTGTGCCCCTGGTACCAGTGGTGTGCCCCACTACCCCTGCTCTCGCCTGCTTCTCCTGCTCTGACATCTGGGCGCACTGCCACGTGCAGGTGTTTGGTTCGTACACCACAGGGGTGTATCTCCCCACCAGCGATGTTGACGTGAGTGTCACTTTGAGTGTCACCCGCATGGCCATGCAGCTGGGAGCATCTGGGCGCACTGCCATGGGGAGGTGCTGGGTTCGTACGCCACGGGGGTGTTTTTCACCAGTGACGTGGATGTGAGTTGATTGCAGTCGTGATTGTAGCCCTGGTACACTAACGCCCCTGCAGCTGGGAGCATCTGGGCGCACTGCCACATGGGGAGGTGTTTGGTTCGTACGCCACGGGAGTGTACCTCCCCAGCAGCGACGTGGATGTGAGTACCAGCTCACACTCCATAAATGCTCACACCCCATAACCATCTCCTGCTGAAGCCTTACTGCTACACGTGGAGGTGTTTGGTTCGTACGCCACGGGCGTGTATCTACCCACCAGCGATGTTGACGTGAGTGTTGCAGCTCATACCCCATAACCATATCCTGGTGAGGCCTCACTGCCTCGTGGGGAGGTGTTTGGTTCGTACACCACAGGGGTGTACCTGCCCACCAGCGACGTGGATGTGAGTGCAATGTAGTGCAGGGTGGCCCTGGTGTCACCCTGGTACAAGGAAGCAAGGTAGCAAGCACACACTCGTGCCATCCCATGAGTGATGTTGATGTGAGTACCAACTCACACCCCCGTAACCATATCCTGGCGAAGCCTCCCTCACTGCCACGTGGGAAGGTGTCTGGTTTGTACGGCACGGAGGTGTACCTCCCTACCAGCAACGTGGATGTGAGTGTCACTTTTAGTGTCGCCTTGAGTGTCACCCTGAGTGTCACCCTGGTACAAGGAAGCAAGGTAGCAAGCACACACTCGTGCCATCCCATAGCTAGCTCATCGTTTCTTTCCTCCTTCCCTTCCATCTTAGCTCAGATGGTAGTGCTGCATTCTGGCTGCCCGGACGTGCAGAGGGCGCTGAGGGCACTGGCGAAGGCACTGGTGGGGAGGAGAGTTGCATGTATCCCGAGCCTCTCCCATTTGCTGCTATCCCCCACCCCTTCACCCCCTTCCTATCAGATGGTTGTGCTGCATTCTGGCTGTCCGGACGTGCAGAGGGCGCTGAGGGCACTGGCGAAGGCACTGGTGGGGAGGAGAGTTGCTCGCAACATGAAGGTACGTTGATGCTGCTGTGTTAGTTAGTAGTGCCTCCTTTGCTCCTCACCAGATGTGTAGCAGAGGGCGTTGATAACACTGGTGAAGGCGCTGGTGGGGAGGAGGGTGGCTCGCAACATGAAGGTATGGGGAGGCTGGGCATGAAACCGAGTGGACAGTTGGATATCAACAGGCGATATGCAAGCAGAACGCACTGAGCGCACTGGCCAAGGCACTGGTGGGGCGGAGAGTGGCTCGCAACATGAAGGTACGGGGAGGCTGGGCATGCAACTGAGTGGAGTGTTGGGGTAGCAACAGGCGAGATGCGAGAGGCAAACAGAGGGCGCTGAGGGCACTTGCGAAGGCACTGGTGGGGCGGATTTTTGAGAATTCTCAAAAACCGCTTGCGAAGGCACTGTTGGGGCGGATTTTTATAGAATTCTCAAAAATCGCTTGCGAAGGCACTGGTGGGGCGGAGAGTGGCCCGCAACATGAAGGTACTACGATGCTTGTGCAGCGGTGCTGTGCTGTGTAAAGAGAACATACTGGTGTGACTGTAAGTGCAAGTGAGTGAACGGTAATTGTCCCTTTCTGTGAGCTTTCTCCTCGCATTGCTCTGTTCCTCCTTTTTCAGTCTCTTGTTATACTCCTCTATGTTCTCCTTCCCCCCAATGCAGGTTATTGGGCAAGCGCGTGTGCCGATCATCAAGTTTCTAGAGATCGCCAGTGGAGTGTCGTTTGACATCAGGTGAGAGGAAGCGGAGAGTGAGTGAGGGAGTATGTGTGTATGCACGAGTGCTTGCGCGTGTGCATGCACATGAGTGTGCGTGTGCCAATTATCAAGTTCCTGGAGATTGCAAGTGGAGTGTCATTTGACATCAGGTGAGCGGGAGTGAGTGCATAAGTGTGTATGTGTGTGCGTGTGCATGCCTGTGTGAAAGCGCGTGTGCCGATCATCAAGTTCCTGGAGATTGCCAGTGGGGTGTCGTTTGACATCAGGTGAGAGGGTGGTAGTGTGTGAATGAGTATATGTATGTGTGTGCGTGCATGTGGATCAGTGCAAGATTGCCCGTCATCAAGTTTCTAGAGTTCGCCAGTGGAGTGTCGTTTGACATCAGGTGAGAGGGAGGTAGTATGAGTGCGCGTGCATGAGTGCATGCTTGCAATGCATGAGAGCACGTGTGCCGATCATCAAGTTCCCTGGAGATCGCGAGTGGAGTGTCGTTTGACATCAGGTGGGCAGGTGTGAGTATACGCGAGTTGTACGTGCGTGCGCGCACGCGAGCATGAGTGTGTGCGTATATATGTGCATGAGTTTGTGTGTGCCGATCATCAGGTTCCCGCAAGTGGAGTGTCGTTTGACATCAGGTGAGGAGGAGTGAGTGCATAAGTGTGTATGTGTGTGTGTGTGCGTGAGTGCGCATGTGTGTGCATGTGTGTGCATGTGCATGCGTGAGTGCAAGCACGTGTGCCCATCATAAAGTTTCTGGTGATTGATTCGCCCACCCTCTTCCTCCCCCTCTTGCAGCCCTCTTCTTTTTCTTCCCCTCTCCTCCTCTCCGCTCCCTTAACTTACCCCTCCCATTTTAAATACGTCCAATGGACCAGAAACGGCCATGTTCATTCCAGTTCTGACATGTCTGACGAACTGCCCGGCCCTCTTTTCCCTCCTGCCCCTTTCCTCCCTCCCTTTATCTTAATTTTCTTGGCAGTTTCGATACCTCCAACGGACCAGAGACAGCCAAGTTTATCCGGGTAGGTTGCCCTTGCAGTCGGTTCTTGTTGCCCTTGCAGTTTGCTCTTCCGCTGTCAAAGGTAAACAGGTGGGCTGCGGAGGTCTTATGTCCATCAACTTAAACTGTGTCTTAGGACGACGAGGCAAACTCCATGAAATGAAAGAAATGAAAGAGCCTGGCAAGCTTGTGAGCTAGAGCGTATTAGAGAGCCAGATTTAACAGAATCGTCAACTTAAAATCAGAACTTGAGTAAACTAGTTTCGGTTCTTTCGAACCTTCATCAGTACAAACAATCGGATCTTCTTGTTGCCCTTGCAATGTTCTCTCTCTAAAAAAAACCAAGGATCAAATGAGAAAGGAGGGGAGGGAGGAAACAGGCAATGGGAAAGGTGCAGCAGAGGGTTTGTGTGTCTCAAGCCCTCTTTTTTATGCATTTTTAAGTCATCTAAGGGGGGCGGTTCGAGGCGTAGGGACATTCTGGTAGCAGAGTGTTGGTACGTCTCAATCCTTTCTCCGCACTTTCTCTCCTCGTTCCTTCTTCCTTCACCTAGAAATCAATGAAGGCAATGCCAGCACTGCGCCCCATATCCTCTGTGCTCAAGCTCTTGTCCGCAGCAGTGGGTTTATTGAATGAAAAGTCTCACTCTACCGCTCTTTCGCAATCCCGTTTTCTGTTCCCACTTGTCTTGTCACCCCTTCAATCAGAAATCAATGAAGGTCATGCCAGCCCTTCGCCTCATCTCCATCGTGCTGAAGCTCTTCCTGCAGCAGAGGGGGTGTTGAGGCGTCTCAACAGCCCAACCCTTGTTTGCTTTCCCTTCCTTCCTCTGTTGCTCCCTGTCTTGTCTCCCCCCGCCCCAGAAATCCATGAAGGCCATGCCAGCACTGCGACCCATATCCATCGTGCTGAAGCTCTTCCTGCAGCAGAGGGTTGGTTGGTTGGTTGCGCCTCAACGGAACTCGTTTCTGCATTCTCCTTCTTTGTTCCCACTTGTCTTTGTCACCCCTTCCACCAGAAATCCATGAAGGCCATGCCAGCCCTTCGCCCCATATCTCTCGTGTTAAAGCTCTTCCTGCAGCAGCGGGGGCTCAACGAGGTGTTCACAGGGGGAATTGGGTCCTTTGCGCTCCTGGTCATGATTATGGCACACCTGCAGGTGTGTTTTAAGGGGTTACAAGCTGTCCTGTGCGGTGCAGTGCAGTGCACTGCCCCTCATCTCCCTCCTACTGAAGCTCTTCCTGCAGCAGATCAGAGGGGGCTCAGCGAGGTGTTCACAGGAGGGATTGGGTCTTACGCGCTCCTAGTCATGATCATGATGCACCTGCAGGTACATGTCTTTGGGATGTTTACAAGGCGCATAGCATGGGCATGCAGCCCACGGCAGCAGAGGGGCCTCAACGAGTTGTTCACAGGAGGCATCGGGTCCCTACGCCCTGCTGGTCATGATCATGACGCACCTGCAGGTAAGTACACAGCCTCGTGTGGTGATGCTTCAGAGCATGTGCAGCCCTCTGCAGCAGGAGGGCCTCAACCCTCAACAAGGTGTTCACAGGGCTGTAGATTTTTTTTGAGAATTCTAAAAAAAAATCTACAGCATCGAGAATTCTAAAAAAAAATCCTCTGCAGCAGGAGGGCCTCAACCCTCAACAAGGTGTTCACAGGGGGCATCGGCTCCCATGCGTCGATCATGGCACACTCGTTTCGTCAGTCACCCATATAATCCGTGTTAGCCATTTTACCCTCCGTGTTATGATGTGGAGAGCTCTGATAGTATGTAATTCCCCTCTCGCTTCTCGCTTTTCCTCTCCCTTCCCTCCCCGCCTCTTCCCTCCGCGCTTTTCTCTGTGCAGACCCACCACAGCCGCTTTTCAAGCGGAAAGTTGGAGCAGAACCTGGGCGTACTGCTGGTGAGTGAGTGCAATTTGTGGGGTGTTACTTGTGAGTCCTCCTTCTCTCTCTGCTCGCCCACCACAGCTGCTTCTTAAGCGGAAAGTTCTACCCTTTTCAAGTAAATAGTTAGCACAGAACCTGGGCGTACTACTGGTGCATGCAGCAGGCAATATGTGCTATTAGAGGGTACGGAAACCCACCTCCACCCTGGATTTCTTGCCTCTTCCCTCTATTCTTCTCAAGTGCAAAGCCAGAGCAGAATCTGGGTGTACTGCTGGTGAGTGAGTGCAGTGTGAGGTGTTAACAGTGAGTGCCTTGATATGATGGGATGTTAATGGTGACTGTTGAGTGCGTACATTTGTTCTAACATTGAGTCTCAAAGCGTTGCCGTCACTTTTCTTGACCATTCTATGTGAAATTAGATAAGAAAGTAACCAAACAAAAAAATCGTTACAAAGAAAAAACACATATAACATTGTTCCATCGTCATGTGCCTTACTCTGGTGCGCCATTTTTTGTCCCTTGTCGCTCCCAGATTGACGTCTTCCATCTGTACGGTCGTGGCCTCAACACAACAGACGTGGGAGTGTCAGCTCGGCATGGGGGGAGATTCTTCAGGCAAATACCTGTGCTTGCTCGCCCTCTTGCTACCTTTCGAGTTTCACCCCTCCCTGATCCCTCTTCCCCCTTGTGCAGATTGACTTCTTTCACCTCTACGGTCGTGGCCTAAACACAGCAGACGTGGGGGTGTCAGCTCGGCATGGAGGGAGGTTCTTCCTCAAGAGGGATAGAGGGTGAGCAATGTGTTGTGGTCAACGCTAGTCAATGCTGGTCAACATCAGTCAACGCCAGCCAATGATGGTCAACCGCGGCCTCAACACAACAGACGTGGGGGTCTCAGCCCGGCATGGAGGGAGATTCTTCCTCAAGAGGGATAGAGGGTGAGCAATGTGGCATGGGGTCAAAGCCAGTCAAGGCTGGTCAATGCTAGTCAATGGTGGTCAATGCCAATCAATGTGGGTCGCAGCCTCAACACAGCAGACGTGGGTGTCGGCTCGGCATGGAGGGAGATCTTTTCTGAAGAGGGATAGAGGGTGAGCAATTTGGGGTCAATCCCTCGATCAATGTCAGTCAGTGTCAGTCACTGTCAGTCAGTGTCTGTCAGTGTCTGTCAATTGTGGTCAATGTCAGTCAGTGTCAGTCAGTGTCTGTCAATGTTAGTCAATGTCAGTCAATGTCAGTTGATTTCTGTCAGTTGTGGTTAGTGTCCGGCAATGTACATCAATGGTGGTCAATGTACGTCAATGGTGGTCAATGTACGTCAGTGGTGGTCAATGTACATCAATGGTGGTCAATGTACATCAATGGTGGTCAATGTACATCAATGGTGGTCAATGTACATCAATGGTGGTCAATGTACATCAATGGTGGTCAATGTACATCAATGGTGGTCAATGTACATCAATGGTGGTCAATGTCAGTCATCGTGGTGCAGCATGCTGCAGGACTGCTGCTGCATGCTGGCGGTGGAGAGAATACCCAGATGTTAATGTCAATCAATGTTGGTCAATGTCGGTCAATGTCAGTCAGTGTCAGTCATTGACTCTCACTGGTGTCAGTGTCATCGTGGTGCAGTATGCTGCAGAACTGCTACATGCTGGCAGAAGCAAATACCCAGATGCCAGTCAATTTGAGTCTGTGCAGGTCAATGCCAGTCAAACCCACTCGCTCCTTTGCCTCTTGCTTCCGCATCCCAGCATGGTGCAGCAGAACCCCTTCATGCTGGTCAATGCTGGTCATCGCTAGTCAACCCGCTTGCCTTTTTCCCCATCTTTCATCCCCATCCCAGCATGGTGCAGCAGAACCGCTTCATGCTGGCAGTGAAGGATCCACAGATGCCAGTCAATGTTAGTCAATGCTGGTCAACTGGTCAACGGAATGCAATGCCAAACTTTCTACCCATGTCTTTGTCTCTTTCTGTTTCCCCCACCCAGCATGGTGCAGCAGAACCGCTTCATGTTGGCAGTAGAGGATCCGCAGATGCCATCCAACGACCTCAGCAGGGGCAGCCACAATATACACAATGTAAGGGCATTGACTGGCATTGACTGGCATTGACTGGCATTGACTGGCATTGACTGGCATTGACCATTCTTGACCAGCATCCAGTGACTGGCATTGACTGGCAGTAGAGGATCCCCAGATGCCATCCAACGATCTCAGCAGGGGCAGCCACAACATTCACAATGGAGAAGAAGAGGAGGAAGCGCATGGCCTGTTAATATCTCTCTCTCTTCCCCACCCTTTCCTCCCCCCTTCTCCCCCCTTCCATCCCCTTTTCCCCTTCGCCCACTCTCTCTCCCTCAGGTCCGCCTTGCCTTCCAGCGAGCACACTACCTCCTCACCACGCCCACACTCTTCTGTTTTTGAAGCACCCGAAACAACGTTTCCTCCCTCCCTCCCTCCCTTCATTTCTTGCCCCATATCCCCCCTCAGGTCCGCCTTGCCTTCCAGCGAGCACACTACCTCCTCACCTCGCCTACACTCCCTACCTCTCATCGCTCTCACTCCCTCAACACCCGAGACTTGGCAAGCAATCCTGCTGGTGCTCCTGCCTCTACTGGCAATGCTAGCAGCAGTCTGCTGGCTAGGTTGATCCGCCTTGAGTCTGCCATTGCTAACCGACAGCCACTGTCAGTGATGTTGCCTTGCCACCACTTTTGCCCTCCCCTCCCCTCCCCTCCCTTCCCTCCCTTCCTCCCAGGTCCGCCTTGCCTTTCAGCGAGCACACTACCTCCTCACCACGCCCACACTCCCTGCTGCTACTGGCAACGCTGCTGGCAGTCTGCTGGCTAGGTTGATACGTCTTGAGTCTGCCATTGCCAACAGACCGCCTCCACCTAGAATGGTGCCGCCACCACTTGTGGCAAAGCATGAGATGAGGAGTGATGGTGCTGCTGGTTCTGCTGCTGGCACTGCTGTTGATGCTCCTGGTACTGGTGGTGCTGCTGCTGCTCCTCCTGCCATCAAGACTAAGAAAGGAAGAAATAAGAAGGATGGTGCATCACCCCCTGCTCTAGATGGAAAAGTAGCAGCAGCAGCATCAGCCGCGGCAGCAGCAGGAACAGACGGAGAAGCATCTTCAGCAGCAGCAGCAGCTGTAAATAGCAGCTTTGTTGCATCAAGGGACGGGAAAGCTGAAGGAGTTGGCCTGGGAGGTAAGAAGGTGAAGAAGGGGAAGCGGGGCGAGAAGGGTGAGGAAGGGAAGGATCCTGCGTTGAAGCAGGTTAAATTGGTAGAAGAGGCAGATGATTCGGGTGAAATGAAGAGAAAAACGGCCAAGGAGGAAAGGAGAGAGGAGAGGAGAGAGAAGGACAGGAGAGAGAAGGAAAGGCGAGAGAAGGGGAGAGGGGAGGATGTAGGAGGGAGTGGTGAGAGGATCGACGGTGGGGAGGATTTGGGTGTGCAGAGTCTGGGTGGGAAGAGAAAAGAGAGGAAGGGAAGAAAGAGAAAGGATGCAGTAAATGAGAGTCAGGCTGAAGAGCGGGAGGAGAGGGAGGAGAGGGAGGAGAGGGAGGAGGAAGGGGAGAAAGATAAGGAGGAGAGGAAGAAAGAGAGGAAAGGGAAGCAGGGAAGGGATGAGGGAGAGGGGGAGGAGGATGTGGAGGAGGAGGGAGGAGCAAAGGAGGGGGAGGAGAGGGAGGAAGAGGGAGGACAAAAACAGGAGGGGGAGGAGAGGGAAGAGGGGGCACGAAAGAGGAAGGGCAAGAAAGTGAGGGAGGGGAAGAGACAGAGGGACAAAAAGAAGAGGTTGTGTGAGGAGGCTCAGAAACAGGCAGCTGAAATCAGTGCAGGTGAAACAGGAGAAGAAAGGATTATAGAGCAGTTGGGAATGGTGGTGAGAGAGAGAGATGGCAGTGTGGAGGTGAGAGGAGTGGAGAGTGTGAGGGGAGGGGGGGAGGAAGAGGAGAGCTTACCGAGAGGGGGAGACAGGGGAGAGTCAGCTGGTGGTGGTGATGATGAGGGTGAAGGTGGGAGGCGGAAACGGAAGAGGGAGAAGCGGGGACGTGCGTTTATGGCGATGCTTGGTGTGAACGATAATGACAGCAAGTAATGAGTTATGGTCATGAGGAATGAGGGGGGGGAAGAGGAAGAGCCTTCCGAGAGGGGGGGGCAAGTCGAACAATGTTGACAGTCCTAAACTAGTGTGAAGGAAGGGGAGGAGGAAGCGGCGACGGGGAGGCAGGGCGAAGAGTGCTTTTGGCTATGATGAGGGAAAGGGTGGGAGGGGTGTGGAGACTCTGTGGGAAGGGGAGGAAGAGGAGAGCCTTTTAAAGGGGCAAAGCAGGACGGGTAGTGGTGGGTGATGAACATGAAGGTGGGAGGCAGAAACGGGAGAGAAGCGGGGCCAAGCGTTCATAGATAGCTTTGGATTAGAGTTAGTGATACGGTAATGGCAGCAAGTGGTCGTACCGTATTCTCCCGGATATAAGACCCGGGGGACTTTCCTAAAATAGAGGCAAAATGACTAGGGTGAACATTTAATCGGAACGAGTTGTAAGAGTCCCGGGTACACTTAATAATCATGTACACTTATGCGATTTAGGGGTGTACACTTGAACTTGGAGGGGGGGATATGTTCGAACTGACAAAATCTCGCGTGCGCGAAACTCGCGCGAGCGGCGCGTCAGAAGCGTCAGCCTCTAAAAGCTGACGCGCATTTTCAATTTTGACTAGTGTATACAGAAAATGGGGGTCTTAGAATGTTTTATAGCAAAAGGGGGGTCCTCTCATATAGCATACATATTAAGACTCCCATACCCGATCATAAGTCCCGGGGGTCTTTTTTCCGGGGGGGGGTCCTATATCCGGGAGAATACGGGTAAATTGAATTCATGCTCGGAAATTTGAATTGTGAAAGCTTGCTATTTGTCTTTGCAAATGCAACGTCTCATTTCAACTGGCAAGTACAAGATTTTTTATCGTCCAAGCATATTACATAGTAACAACGATGAATTCTCTACTATACTAGGGTGGGAGGGTGGGGAACTTGAAAACTGAAAGTTTGAAATGAAAAACGTGGGTGAAGGCCAAATGGCCTTCGCCCCCTCTTTTATACCGAAAAAGAGGGGAAGTAGCGGTTCGCCGAAGCATTTTGCTTCGGTACAAATATCTTCGCTATTCACAATACACAATTTTAGAAAGTGTTACACACTTTCAAAAATTTACATATTGTGAAAGCTTGCTATTTGTCTTTGCAAATGCAACGTCTCATTTCAACTGGGTTTTCTGAGACATGGTGAGTGCTTGTTGGCGGTGTCGAGTAAGGGCACGCTCATGCTGCGAGGGGGACGGAACGTGCGCCTGATCGTGAAGGCGCCGCGACGCAGCAAGGAGGTGATCGTGGGAGATGGTGACATAAAGGTCCTTCGCGGTTTCGCTCCGCCATCGCCCCAGTCTTTTGAAAAGGCGGTCCGGGATGCCCGTACTCGCTGCAACTGTTGCTGCCCCTTTGCGGAATGAATGGGTGCCGAGGTTTGTAGGGTCGATGCCGGCTGCTTGGAATGCCTGCAAGCACCACGTGCGGACAGTGGGGTATGATGGGGCGGTATCCTGCGAGGATGGCGGGAAGTTGCGTCGAAAAATACGAATTAACGGGCCTTTGGTCTTTGGCCCGTACTGTGCCAGCTTGATGAAGTGCCTGGTGCACCGCACGGGGCAGAATGGTCCGTCAGTCGCGGCAACGGGGACCCATACGCCCTTGCTCTCCTGATCGGTTTTGGAGTGCGGAATTAGGAGCCACATTGCCGTAGCCTCGAACTGGATGTCCTCCCACTGGATGGACACCAGGTCCGAGAAGCGAAGGAAGGCCGAGTACATGAGCAGCACGATGAGGCCCTTCTGGTAGGTGCCGGGTTCGCGTGACTGGAGAAAAGGCCCCGCCATTGCCTGGACTTGATGGAGGGAGACGGGCTCTTTCACTCGTGTAGGCCGAGGGCAGTGTCGTTTGGCGTACTCTCGGACTTGCGTTGTGAACGGGCCGTTCGCTGGGTTGGCTGACCCTGTCATGCGATGGGCAAAGCTGACTGCAGCGCATGTGAGCTGTACGCTGGAGACTGTGGCCTGGTGGTTGATTGCGTGCACTAAGTAGAGTGCAAGCGTGAGATCTGCGGCAGGCAAGAAATCCACTTTGGCCTTCATGCAAAAGCTGCGAAACTTCTCCCAGTACGGTTCGTATGTGTTGATTGTTGATTCCGATCGTGTCTTGGCTGTCATAAGAAGTAGCTGGTGATGCAACCTTGGAAGCATATCTGTAATCATAGGATACAAGAATGGTACATCAAGGTTTGTAATTGACTTTCAGTGCTAAGATACGACTGACTGGAAGACCAGCACCCGAGAATGCATGTTCATGGGAGCCCACATGCAAGCATTGACTACCACTAGCAAGGTAGAGGATGGAGGAGATGCCGATTGCCCAGGTGTGTGGGGAAGGTCTGATTAGGGGCCACCAAGCAGCGCCTGTCCATTCGGGAACGACTAGTGTCATCGTGGCGTTCGTGCGTGCGGCATGGTGCAAGGTCGCTGGGATGAGGTTCGGCGGCGGGAACGCGAAGCCGTGCTCTAATCCCCAATCGAGCGAGAATGCATTTATGGCAGTTGCACGTGGGTGCGGATGTTTAGCGCAGAAGCGCGGGAGCTGTGCGTTGTTGGCATTGGCGAATAGGTCGATGGTGTGTGATCCCCAACGCCTTTCCAATAATCGAAACCAGGGGAGCGAGAGTCGTCGTGGTCTTCCAATTTGGACAGTGCATCTGCATGCGTATTGAGAGCACGTGGAATCCATTCGATGGCCAGACGGGTTTCGTGCGCCATGCAAATTGCGACGATGGCCTTGCACAGAAGAGTGAGCTCAGGCTGGCGAGAGCCGCCTTTGCGCAGAATGAAGAAGACGCCTTGGTTGTCTACTCGCATGAGTACGCGGCGACCTTGGATCTGGTCCTTGAACGTCTGCAGTGCCCATAGCACTCCCTCGAGCTCTCGGCGTGTGCTCGATGTGGAGAGAAGTTCTTTTGGCATGGGGCTGCTTCCTTGCGAGCTTCCGCCGGGGAAGGATGAAAGGGTTGCACCCCAACTGTGTGCGCTAGCGTCGACGTGAATGACCGTGTCCAGACTGTGGGGCATGTGAAAAGGAGCCCCGTTAAAATGGTCGAAGTGGTCAAACCAAAATTGTAGCTCGTCGCGAACTTCCGAGGTCAGGGTCACTCGTGCATTCCATGATGGCGCCTCATTAATGAGTGTCAAAAGTTGATGGCTGAAAGAGCGCGCCGTCGCACCAAGGGCGAGCGCCATGGATGCAAGGATGCCGGTGACGCGGGCGACGAGGCGGATTGATACCCGCTGGTTGCGCTCGTAGGCGAGAAGCAGCACATGTAGTGCTTGTGTGAGTTGCGCCTTTCTCTCCTGGCCGATAGTGAACCTTCCGGATGCGGTGTCCAGCTCCATTCCGAGGAAGTGCAATTTTTGAGTCGCGATCAGGTGCGACTTTTTTGCGTTGATGACGAGCCCCGACTCCTTGAGGTCTCGAATGACTGCACCACTTTTCAAACGAGCGTCCTGTTCCGAGTCGCAAAGGAACAATATATCGTCCACATAGGGTATGACCCGAATGCCTTGCGCTCGCCATTTCCGTGCCAACTGCTTGATCAACTGGGTGAACAGGAAGGGCGCTGTAGCGAGGCCGAACGGCAACGACTTGAAAACATAGTCGGTGCCTTCAAAGTGAAAACCTAGAAATGACCAGCAAGATGAGTGAATATCGACATGATGATAGCCAGACTTTAAGTCAACCGAGAACATCCAGTCGCCCGGCTTCGCCAGTTCAGCGACACGAAGAAGTCCTTCGTACTTGAATTTGGGGACAATTAGGTATTGATTGACCTTTCGCAAGTCGAGAATGAGGCGGCACTTGTTGCGTTGTTCCACAACGTTGAGTGGGCTGATGCATGTAACGGCCGATGAGCTAGATGCAACTGCTGCTGCTCCTGACGTGAGCAATTCCTGAATTGCCGATCGGGTGAAGTCGGTGTGCTTCAAGACTCCGGCGTGATTTTGCTCACGGAACGGCGGTGGTGAGAATGCCTTCCAAGGAAGCCAATATCCATTGACAATGACCGACAGGATCAAGGAGCTCTCGCACCAGGAAGCCCACCAAGCGAACGCCTGTCGGAGGCGACCACCCATGGTTGTGACATCACGATCGGTAACCGCATTTGCCAAGATCTCGTCCTGCTCCCCGGACCATGAAGGCGTTGTGGCTGCCATGGGGTGTTTCGTTGCGGGATGGCAGAGGTACAGGATCGAACCATGACGTTCAAATTACGTGAAATGTATCGGCGCGCACGTATGAGCAGGTCATTCACGCATAACGACATGCACCTCGTGGTTTTGATAAGGGTAATGAGGTTGCGAGTGCACGTGAGTGAGGTGCGGCTAAGAATCTGTTGGATACAACATGTATCACCCCTCTTTGTGGGTGTCAAAGTGAGAACCGTTCAAGCGAGGGTCCATGCGCTTTGCGCGCGCGCTTCTCTTTCTTCTTCTTCCTCTCTCTCTCCCTCTCTCTCTCTCTCATTTCCTCACTCTCTCTCTCTCTCTCTCTCTCTCTCTCTCTCTCTCTCTCTCTCTCTCTCTCTCTCTCTCTCTCTCTCTCTCTCTCTCTCTCTCTCTCTCTCGCAAGGCATGTCAGCTGGATGGCTTGGTAACAACCGGCACTATTGGCCACGGGAACTCACTATGCCTTGCCATGCGAAGCGTTGTGACTTTCTCATGCTATTGAGTTGGTCGTTGCCTTCCCATACCCTTCTCCCTCTCTCTCTCTCTCTCTCTCTCTCTCTCTCTCTCTCTCTCTCTCTCTCTCTCTCTCTCTCTCTCTCTCTCTCTCTCTCTCTTTTGGTGACATAACTTGTCATAGGCTGGATTTCCAAGGCCAATGACCTGAGCAACATTCCATTATAATTAGAAATACAACTTCATAGCCACCCGGGCTTTGCGTAAAAACGCACACACACGCATACACACGTACACAAACAGCCTAGGGCACTCCATGCCTCT